AAAAATTTGATTTTACCAATCCTACCTTTGCTAATTAGGATAGTGTTTTTCCATGTCAAAGGCAAACTGCAGCATATAACAATGATTGGCTTATGCTGCTGGTGGAGAGCAGTTTTGATGGACGCTGAAGTGGGTAGGATTTGTACAGTACAGACGTGAAAAAGTTGTGTTGAAATTGAGGGATAAGAGGATTAAACCAAAAAGCAAATTAAATTTAGTCATAAAATTATCTTAATTCAAAAAATTAGACTATTATATTAAAAGAAAAAAGAAAGTGAGATTCGAATTTATGATCGTTTAATCATCAAGACTCTAATACCATATCGGAAAATCATTTCAATTAAAAAACTTAAATTATTAAATAAGATTTTAAAAATAATTTTATATTGTTCTTTAATAAGTTTTAATTGTGTTTTTCATGATTGTTAGGTAAAGAAGCAAAAACAAAAAATTAATAAAATAAACTCAAGAAATCTATAACTTCGCTACCATGAAAAGAAAATTATGGGATTTAGTTTTTTTTAAAATAAATATGACTATACCGGATTGAATTGATCACAACTATAAAAATCTTTGAAAGATTATTTTGATCTTTTATGAAAATGAAAGACTGTTCTAATTTTTTTTTTTTAATGAGATTTTTTTAATCAAATTCAAATACTCTTGATAAAAGATTTAAATTTGTAATTTTTTACAAGTATAAAAATCTCATTACCACTAGACCTACTTATGGATAAAAATAAGTTATTTCAATCTTGTTAAACCACTATATTTATATGATAGGATGGAAATCAAATTACAATATTAACCCACACACAAGAAATGTGCTTGTTGGCCTCGATGCATAAAGTATATTATCATTAGATATAGAAGAGATTTTCACGGAAAGGAAAAAAGATAAATTAAATTGAAGACTCTTTCGTCACGGGAGTGTCAGTTTTTAACCCACCAAATAACAGAACACGAAATTAAAATAAAATAAATGCATTTTATTTTTTTTCGATAAAAATTGGTTTTATCTTTTTGTTAAATAAAAGAAAAAAGTAAATTAATAACGGCCAGAAAGTGGACAGATTTACAATAATGGAGCTTTTTTCAACCAAAATTTTTTCACGAGTAATGATTCAAGCTTGACGGTCGATATAATGATGTACGGAGCTGTTTGCTAACGTAAAACCATTCTTCCTTCTTTTTTTTTTTTTTCCCGTCCAGAGAATGGGCATGTTTGCGATGTCTCATGTGTTTAGTAAGACAAAGACAATAATAACACAACTAATCATCAACAAATGACCTGCTTTTGTCACTACGAACGAGAAGGATATGGTGAAAAAAACATGCTAGGATGTGACTTTTCTCCTACTAGCACCGATTAGCATGATCTTTAGTCAACTTGCTAATTAATTGCGAATTGCTACTTTGCTTTATTCACGAAACAGTTTCTTTATCTTTTCGGCATAGATTTCCGGCATCAAGCTATATTTTTATAACTCTCATATATATATATATATATATATATATATTATCTTTTGTTTTTCAAATCTTTTTTAACCCTGTTATTTGCTTTTACTGAAATTTGTTTAAATGATCAATAAATAAATAAAAAAAGTTGTGATCAATTGTAAGGCTAAGTGACTTAACCATTCTAAATTTTCGGTCAAACTGAATTTAGCCCATAACTTTGATTTTTTATTTAAGTACTTCTACTATTTTTTGGTAAAAAAATAAAATAAATCATTTTCATTAATTTTAACTACACGTGAAGGCATGTGATAATTTATAAAAGCCACATCTCTTCTATGCATATGCCTTTTGTACTCCAAATTAAAAAATAAAAATAAAATTTCTTTTCTTTTTATTTTTCTAGCTGAACAAAAGAGAAAACATAATAATAAAAAAAAAATCTGACTTTTCTGCTCTCCCCTTTTCTCTCTCACCACACACACACACCACCCATTAACCGCTATTTTTCACCAAACTTCGGCAAGCAAACCATCCACTTTCTTCTTCAAATACCGGCTAGCAAGACACTATCAGCTTCCTCTCCTTCTTCGCCAGCAAATTTAAAAGCAAAAAACAAAAAGAATTTCACTATTAAAGTGGGAAAATCGAGTAGTTTTTTTATGCTATTGTCGACATTGTTATTGTTATTGTTGATGCTTGTTGATATGGTTTTCGACGCGAGTTGTTGTCGTTGCTGCTTCCATTTTCGACATTGATGAGAGGAAATCCAAAAAACGATGGACAGAAAAGGAGATGTTCACTAAAAAAAAACACAGCTAGATATCGAGAGTATTCCTGGAGCTAGAGTTTATGGTAAAATAGAGTGTGAAAACAAATTCTCTGTTTCATTGAGTAAATTATAAATTAGTCTTTCTTGTTTCGATAGAAGAATTAATTAATTTCTTTTATTTTAAAAATTAATTATTTAGTCTTTTATGTTTTAATTTCGTCAATAACTTAGTTATTTTATTAGTTTTTTTTTGTTAGATTAGTGATTTCTTTTTTTCAAATATATTGATATACTACTATGAAAATCGTAGATCTATTATTAATCAAATGAAGACAGATTAGTAAAAAAAATCATTGATAGACATTTTCATTGCTAATTTCATCACATTAGCAATGTGAGTATGTCTCTATAGCGACAATCAATCTATCACTAATTTTATCATATTAGTGACCAATGTACTTCATAACAGCAATGACTTATTCATCATGAATTTAGCAATAAATTCTAACTTCCAATGCTAAAATTATTAATGATAAGCTTTATGTCGTCATATTGGTTTCGTCGTCATTTTTCATGAAAGGAAAATTATGACGGAATATATAAGTTTAGCAGAAAAAAAAAAACTCTAGATAAAGGTTTAATTTTTTTGTAGTGGTTGTTGCAGGGGTACGAAGAAGATAAGGTATTGGTGGTTTATAAGGAAGAGTTTTTGAGAAAGGAAGGGATTGATCGATAGCGTGTATTTGTGACAGAGAAAAATCACGTGCATAAAATTTGTATTAGTACACATGCAGCTTTTATACTCATTCTCTCGTGATCAAAATTAACGAAAGGATCTATTTTTTTTACCAAAAAATAATTCAAGATACTTAAATAAAAAAATTTAAAGTTAGAGGCTAAGTTTAATTTGACCTATAGTTCATTATGATTTTGGATCATTTAGTCCAATTTTAAGGGTAATTTGTCTAACAATAAGGGTAGTCATTTCGTTGTAATAGTCTGGATCTCAATTATTATATAACATCAATGGATACTGTTAACTCGTCGATTAATTATTACTGTAATTGTCTGAATCTCAGGTCGAATGAAAACCAAGCTAAGTCACGAGCTGATGATTAATTACTTAAAAAGAAAAGCAGAAGAAGAAATTAACACGAGGGTGGGTCTGGTGGAGGGTAATTTGAAAAGTCAAACCACGTTATGGCCTTTAGGTTATGGGATAGAGAAATGCTAAAATCAAGGTCTCTTTAGCTCTTTGTATACATCTTCACTTTGATCTTACAAAATTTTCAATCATAATACTAATTAATTAATTCTCGATACGGAAAGATGACTACATGAATGATATGATCCTTATTATTTTTAATTTTGAATAGTGCTATGTCGAGTATACTTTAGTCTTCAACATACTAGTGGCTATATTAGATTTGATTTCGGTTTTTCTTTTTTGTGAAAAACATGGAAAGCTTTTGACGTCAGGGAGGACGATTTCTCAGAAACAATTGAGAGCGGTGCTTTATATAGAAAATTAAGCCGCCGCCAACAAGGTTACTTGTGTCTAAAAGCTAATTTAATTTCCAGAAGTTGCTTTTCTCATAAGGACAGCGGAATTTGGCCGATACGCTAATTTTTTTTTTTTTGACAGAATCTGCTAAAAGACAATATCTTCAAATTCTCGTAAAGAAAGCATTTAAGAAGGATCCTTTCATCACTTTAACGTCCATCTTCTAACTTAATTTTCTTTTTTCGGTTTCCGTTTCCTAGGATAAAATTGAAATATGTATCATTTTTATTATAGCTAGTAAGACAACATTAACTTAACCATATCACTCTTCAGAGGTAGGATCTCCTTTCATTTTCGCAGAAAGTGGTTACAAATTCAGCCCCAGGAAAGTGAAATGTATTAGGATTTAGATGGTGCATTAGGCGGGCGAAAGTTGCTAGACATTGGCCAATATGATTTTAACAATATGCGTCCCAAATGTTATTATAAATCAATGGTAACAACTTAGTTGTATGTTTATTTCGAAAGGTTGGTAAAGCAAGCAGTAGGCTGGCTAGTAGCCCCCTGTTGAAAAAAGTGTACGGTCACCAGTCAAGACCGAAGGGAAATGTACAGGTACCTAGATTCTTTCGGCTAAAGAATTATAGAAGTAGAAGAAGCGAAGAAAATGTGGTTACCGGCTTTATGATAAAATATGTAAAAAAAAAAAAAAGGTTTCTAGATCTTCGTTGTTCAATTTTCAAACAGGAGCAGTTGATTTGCGATTGAATAATAATAATGATAATAAAAAGTACTGAGAAGATGACAGAGCCCCCATGATCTTCTGTCCTCTTATCTTGTCGTTGTATTTAATATTTTTTTATATATTTGTTTACCCTCCTTTTAGCGGGATTTGGAAAGAAGCAAAAACAATAGAACTCCTCGTCCGCAGCACAAACTGGGAAACTTCAAGATATTCGAGTTTTTTACTTGTGTATGGTAATGAGTTTTGGTGGCATTTGACCCAGGTGCCCTTGTAAACGTAACTTATGAACGCATTTCCTGCCATTGCCATGCCTGACGCAAGAGTAGTGGCATTTTTTGTTACATAACGTTATAAGTGTGGTATTTAAAGGTATTTATTACAGTTGTCTATACAGTTATACGTTTAACGGCATTTATTTAAACAAATACCATTAAAATAAACTCCTAATAAATAAAATCAAAATTTACATTTTATTTTATTTTTAACCTGTACAGAAATAATAATAATAATAATAACTTTCTTTAGGCAATCAGCGGTCTCTCCCTCTCGTTGTCTTGCTCCGACTTCGCCGACCATGGCGAAGCACGGCGAGCACCGTTTTCCTTAAAATATGCGAGTGTCAGTTTCGTAAGTGATGCAACAGCCCACAAGGATTCATCGGCGACGCAGCAAACACCTTCTCTTTAACGAATTGGAATTCTGATTAACTGAGCTAGCTTATTTTTCTCTGTCACCTTCTTGGTCTTTGTTGATTTACTAAGCTCCGGTAACTATTTGAGGTAACTTAGGGTATTCAGAACAATCTACGACCGCCAATTGGTACACTCTGTTTTCCCGAGCCTCTGTTTCTCGTTTTCAATTTTGAGGTACTTGCGTGGATTGATTATGAATTTACCTAATATTTGGGAAATTAAATTTTGATTATAATTTTGTCTTGGAAGAGGGATACAGGTTATCTACTATTACAAAATGAGAAATTTCAGTTTTTAAAATTCACAATCACTTCAACTAGGATGATTTTCAAAGACTTAATAGTTTAATTGAATTAAAAAATTAATAAGTAGTTTTATAAGGAAAAATTTCAGTTATTTAAAAAAGCAAGTGAAGTTGAACTCAATTAACTGCCTAGTGTACTTATTTGACCCAAGATTTGAAACTTTTGTCTTATAAGGAGAATTAGGATTTAAATTCATTTTGTTTTCGAGATTATGTTTAGCTGCAAAGATTAGTATCAAATAGGATACCAAATTATACTTTGCTAACATGTTAGGTCATTTAAATTCATTTAGAAAAGGTTTTTGATTTGCCAGCTATGGATCCATGACATCATCTAAATCAATCCCTTTTGCTTTGCAGGGTTGGATTTTTGTGTGCCTACAATCAACGCGTGAGCACATGTATACGACACCTTCACGAGAGCGTGCACAAGCACCCCTAACACATTGGTGTTTTGGTTGGTTTAGAATACCCTCTTCCTCTTGAATTCGAGTGTGTTTTACATTTTGTCTCATATTGTAAATTATCATTAAAAACTTTTTAGAATTTGTTCCATTAATTACATCCATTTTACATTGAAGAATAAATTTACTTCAGGACACTTGACCCTATTACCTACTCATGATATGACTTTTTCTTGGATGAACTGTCAGAACTGACACTCATTTATTGTGTCTGTTACATGTGTAACATGTTCTGTTTCTCTTTATGAACAATTTTCTCTATACTGTGAACAGGTGGCTTGGAGGCTCTAACTAACATCCATTAGCTCTCTTGCTAGTAGTGATCTTTTTATTTGTGTTAGCAAATATGAGAAAGAGTGCTTAGATTCTAGACCAATCCTTTAAAAGTTAAAAATTCTGTTGGTATGGAACTTGTATTAGATATCAAGATACTCATTTCACTTGCAGTGATAGCCTTTCTTGGATTGTGGAGCTTTTGTATATAATAGGCTGGTGCTAAAGCCATAGAGGCTCTGTTTTGTAATAAGGAAGCAAGGCATTAGGGGACCAAGTCCATCTCTGCTGCTTGGAAACATATATGAGACCAGGAAGCCTCAATCCACAACAGTAAAGGCTTCAACAAATGAACCAGCAGGTTTCCACAACCATGCTGCAGCCCTCTTTCCACTTTTTGAGCAATGGAGGAAGCAATATGGTACATTTGCCAATACTTTTCAACACTATATATTTAAGCACATTTCGAAAAGATTGAGAAAAACCGGTCATTCACAACCACTGATGAAGGATTTCTCGAACATACATACACTTTCCATCCATATCTATCAGCTTTTGATTTGTACAGTCCGTCATTCCTTTCTTTCTTTATATATTGAAATTAGAAAGCTGAATATAATAAAATCAACTACTTCCAAGTTAATTAATGTTGTGTAAAACAAGTCTAGTATTTGTGTTCTCGTTGGGAAACACAAATGTTATATGTGAACCAGGCTTTGGGGTGAGAGAGATTACTACATGTGCATCATTGTAATTTGGGAAGCCTTCACATCATCAGAAAGAATGCAGTCCTTTGCTTGATCAGGACATTCTGACTTCACATGGGACTTTTTGGGACCATCAGAGGAAAATCCTTGCTCCTGAATTGTACATGGACAAGGATAGGGTAACATCATTTATCCATATATCTTTACTCTCAAGAAATCTCATTTTATTTGATACCGCCTGCAAAGATGGAGTGATAGATCAAATCTTGACTTATGCTTGTACTGGGAATGATGAGCTTGCTAACTGAATCCACCACTGTGCTGCTAAACTCATGGAAGAGGACATTTATGCAAGTTTTTTATATGTGAATTTTCACCTATTTGCACTGTAATTTCGAAGAGAAGTGGGTGTGTTTATTAGCATGTACTGTCTTAGCACTTTTATAAAAGCATCTTGTCCACCGTTTTGTTACATGACAGTTCTTCATGTTAATTGGTTCTGAAATTTTTGACTTATTTTATATGCAGGGATGATTTCTCTCCTTTCTCAACAAAATCATCAGGTATAAATATAGTCAGATTAGTGATGAATATTTGTATGTCAGAGATTAGTGATGAATATTTGCAGGCAGGGGTTCTATGCTTAATATTTTTGTTTGGTGACCTTTGCTCGACCAAGACTGAGGTGGCCGTCTTTGAACTTCAGGGCTCGTTTCTTGGGGCAGTGGTGGAGATGTTTTCCAATGTTTTGACATGAAGATGGGCTCTGCAGTTGGTAGAATTAATGCTGTTGAACACATACAGCAGTGATATTGACCAGGTACCTCTTGCAACTCTTAGTTCATCTATGTTCAAAATGATTACAATCATCTTACTTTGAGCTTTTAACTTTAATCATGTAATGTTGCTAACTCGGACTTCTTGTTTGTTGAAGTAATCAAAGTAATTTGAATGTGACCATCCCTTCAGTAATGGAAGGACCAGGAAATATTTTTTGACGCATGTCGTGGATTCTTTGTACATTTATTCCTTGACTGTTATTTTCATTTCTGATTTTTCATGCATGAATTTATAGGTGTTTTTAGAACCCATTGTCTCACATCTTGGAGTAACCAGAGGGTGCACCAGAAGATAATCCCAGCATCCCCTCCTTCACTGAAGTTGATGAATTACTGGTAATTTGTATTTGGTCACACAGAGCCTGAGAATAGTAATTAGTTGAAGCTATATATACTTGGGAGTTAAGAGGTCAATGTAGGTATTTGTCAAACAATGTAAATATTCTTTGGATTAAGGGAGTGATGTTATACTAGTAATTGTTTTCTTGATTCATCATTTACTTTTCGTTTGTTTTTTTCCCATTTTTTTTCCCTTGTTATAGTTCAGAATGGTTTTATTGAATAAATTAAATTAATCTATCAGTAAAGGTATACCTAGTTGTAATAAAAAGGCTAAATGACCTGAATTTTAATCTATTTAAAAATCAGTTTTTGAATTTCTTATTTTGAGTTTGATTTTATTTTTTTAAGATTTATTTAATTTTTTTTTCAAAAATAATTGTCACATAAATAACGTGATAATGAAAATCATTCAATAAGATTTATTTTGAGCTCTCTAAAAAGTTAGGGATTATTTCGAGTTAATTTTTATTTTTCTTGATTTTTTATATTTTAATGTTCAAAAAAAATATAATATATATATTCCAATTTTGAAAAATTTTGGGATATTTTTTAGAAAATAAAGCAGAATTTTTTTAATGTGTATGCAAAACTTCAACTTAAAATATCAAGAATTAAATTTTTTTAGAAGAAGCAATAGTTGGAAATTATAAGATGGATTAAATCTTAAAAAATATAAAGTTCAGGAGATATCAAATTCAAAATTAAAAAATTAAAAATTGATTTTTAAATAAAAAAAAATTCAAAGAAAGTTTGGTTCGTTTAAACTTATAAAAATATTTTTATTAAAGGCCTATATGAATTTAGTTATGTTGGCATTGCTAATTGTGATAGAAAATATTTTAATGGCATTTTTAGTTTAGATACAATGGCATCTATGGATGTTATTACCAAAATAAGCATTTTATCATTTCTAAATGCCTTTTGATTCATGTAACTTTAATGGGATTTATATTTTGTTTTACCAGCATTTGTTGCCTTAATTATACCATGATCTTCAAGGGCATGGGATATAAAGGCATTTGGGCAAATGTTGGTAAAGTTCTTACTAGCATTTTGCAAATGTCATTGAAGCCCTTTACAATTGCCACTAGAAGGCAATTGAATTGTGGTGGATATATTTAGATGATACATGTATAATTTAAGAAGCTTACGTCCTCTTTATTCCGATTCACACACACACAATATATTTCTTTTATGATATATCTAAATAAAAGTTAAATAGATTAGAATCGGACTATAAATGAGCATATGCATCAAGGTCATTGAAAAAAATAAATCATGTGAGAAATCTATAAAGTTATAGTTCAAACAACTAAATCAATCCCTACCAATCTAAAATGACGAGATAATACATTTTATAAATAAAAATACTTACATCAACAATAATATCATCATACGTTCATAGTTATTCAATCGTAATTTATTAACATATAAAATTTTATCTCTCAATTGATATTAGAATTTGTTGGTAGCAAAGAAACAAATAACTCTATTTTTGTTTTCACGTAACTTGATAAGTCTATTAGTTATATAAAGAACAAAGAAACCTAAAGTTAAGAGTTCGAACCTTTTCACTTGACATTATTATTCATCTTCTTCGTTATATTTACATCATAATTTTTTTGAACATTACTCTATCTTCTCATACTAACTAGATCATCAAAGAGTCATCTCCTAATTAGAAAAACTTGTTTTGCACATATTTCATTCATCACGATATCATTTCAATAACGGTTATGAAAGAACCATGTTATATTTAGAAATTAAACAATATCGTTGAGTTTGTAACTTTAACTCATTTGAAACTTAAAATTTTAATTTTTAATTAATTTTGGATCACATATTTCAACCATGTTTCATACAAAATCAAGTAATTTAGTTCATTTTAGTAAGATTTTTATGCATAAGTAAATGAAATTTACATTTAAGAGAAACATGACTGTTATTAAAAAAAAAAAAAAAAAAAAGGTAGAAATGTAATCGGATTTCACTTTAAAAGTTCGTTATTTTATGAATAGAATCTTTAAAAAAAAAAAAAAAAGAAGACTAACAAATGTACACGATTTCATGTAAAATAAAGCTCAGGACCGTCAAATCTGAATCAAAAAGTTGAAGGAAAGTGTAGAGAAAATAGCGCCGATTTAATCGGATTTTTATGAAAGAGACTGATTGATGGGCCCAACAATGTAATAAAAGTATGCATTAGAATAAAAATTATTATTGGGCTACCATCCAATTCATAAGTTGGGCCAAGCCTATGTAATTAGCATACGAGCAGAACAAAAAGAAATTGAGAGAAAAACAATAGTTAAGACCAACCAGATTTCACCATAAAATCACCTAAAAGAAACAAATTAAATTGTACTTCATTTTATACTTATTTATAGTTATATAGCATGCCGTTGCATCTCTTTCAATCGGTTCCCCCAAAAGAATCTCATCCATAAAAATAGCCTTGTTTTGAAGAATGATGAAACCAATATTTTTCGAGTTTTGGGTTTTAGATGGTTAATTTACTATACTACAATTGCTACTAGGTCATATTCTGGAAAGTTTCACATGGATATATATATATATATATATATATGACCAAAATTCTTTGATTGAAAATATGAAATCTATTTTTTTATTAGTTGTTCTACATTATCGAACTAAATGTGATGGAATGAATAATCACAAGTCACAACCATCCCATTTATGCATATATATTTTTTTTCACAAGGGTGATTGTTATATAGGTGAATTAGTTTTTTTTTTTTTTTAGTTGGATTTTGCATAGCACCAAATTTCATATGCTAATTTTTTATTTTTATTTATTTATTATTTTTTTAAATTCACACACTCAAAACTTCTAACAAAATTAGTCTATAAAGATTTATATGTGACACAATTATGTCTGTACTGTCAAATTATATATGTTAAGCACAATCATGTCTATCATGATTCACCAACTCAAGCAAGTTTTAAATCCTGTGTTTCTCCTGTAGAGTCTTAATCGATTTCGGGCAATATACTAGGAATAGGCCAGAAAAGAGAGGTTTTTTTGCAAATTTCTAAAGGTTCTAATTGCAAGTATATTACAAGTATTGGGCCAACAAAGAGAGATAGGAAAAGATAGCGACACTAAAAGCAATAACTGAAGCTCACGAGGTTTTCTAACAAAACAATAAAAACATTCGAAAATTTCGACCGTTGGGCCCGTTGCAGACAAGAGACAGGGTAACGGTTAAGTTCTACGGAAAAGAAAAAGAAAAGTAAAACCTCCCCCACTAACTTGCTTACACTCATCTCTTCCAAAACTGCAAAGTGATTGAAGAAACCACCAGAGATAAAAACAAAGTAAAGCAAACCCCACAAAATCAGAAACAATGGGATGTGTTTCTTCAAAACTCTTCAAAAAAGAACTCCATCAAGAAATCAGACTCAACAATGGCGGCCGGTGTGTTAATCACGTGGTCTCTCTCACTTCTTCAACTTATGGTGCTCTCAAACTTGACTGCAACAATCAACAACAACAACAACTACCACCACTACAACAAGAACCCATCAAAGAAATTGTGGAAGAGAGTATGAGAATGCAACAAAGATCGCCAACAAAAGAAGAGCCAGAGGTTATTAACACATGGGAGCTAATGGGGGATCTTGAAGAAGGAGTACCCGCTTCAAATCAGACTAAAAAAAGTCCAAAGTCGACGGTTTTGCGTCTTGGGTTTGCTGATTTGGATGTTAGGAGTCCGCTGAAGTTCTTGAATCAAATTGGGTCTCCAAGAAAAGCGAAAACTTTTGGTGGCAAAGAAAATAAGGTAAAGAGGTCATCAGGTTTTAGCCCCAGACCAGTTTTAAAAGCCAACAATTCTTCAGGGAATTCGTGCAAAGCAGTGTTGAGATTGAGTTATCCAGTGAAAGGGTCTCCGGTTAGGGATAAAACAGAGAGTTTTAGAAGCGAATCTGGAGTTTCTCCGAGAAGGAGGAGGAGTTTTAGCCCTCTATTCGATCCAGAACTTGTTGCATTATATGAGAAGGAGTTGTCTGAAGAAGAAGAACAAATCAAGAGGATAATTTTGCCAAGTTCGAGAACCACAAAAGTAAAGAAATTGCGAGATTTGGAATCTATCCTTCAGTCTTTCGAACAAAAATGCCCGCCTGGAGGGGAAAATAAGGTCGTGATTTACACTACTACATTGAGAGGAATCAGAAAAACATTTGAGGATTGCAACACAGTAAGATCAATTATCGAGTCACATCATATTCACATTGTTGAAAGAGATGTTTCCATGGATTCGGGTTTTAAGGAGGAGTTAAGGAGGCTAATGGGTACAAAGGAAGTCAAAGTTCCACTTGTGTTTGTTAAAGGGAGTTTAATTGGTGGTGCTGACCAAATGGTAAAGTTGGAGGAGGAAGGAAAGTTAGAGATTTTGTTTGATGGAATCCCGAGAGGGCTTGCTGGAGGATGTGAAGGGTGTGCTGGGGTTAGGTTTATGATGTGTGTGAAGTGCAATGGGAGCTGCAAGATTTTGGATGAGGAGCAAAAGAAGATGGTTAGATGTGGTGAGTGCAATGAGAATGGGCTGATGCAATGTCCTGTCTGTTGCTGATTGATTTTAATGAGGTGTGTATGGAATTTTATCTAACCTTTTGAATTGATTTTAATATTGTGAGATTTTGGCTAGGTTTGGTAAATTCTTGTGATTCCTTGTCAGGAATGAACATAGATTTTTTTTTTTTTTTTCACCATGTTTCGTGGTTGAAATAGTGGAGGTACTAAAGTGGGTTTAGGCCTCTTGGCAGATTGACTGCTTGTATTTCTGAATGTTATTTGCTTATTTATATTTCATGAATTCTGTAGAAATTCCTTCCTCACATAAGCTCTAAACTTTAATTTGCTAAACAAACTGTTTTTCATATGCGAGTCTGTTCTGTGCTACACTATTATTTCGGTAGAGTAACTTTGCAATTAATTCAATTGGTTCTAAAGCTGGTTTTTTTTTTTTTTTTGTTCAATGTTGCAACAAATAGAATAACTATTTTTTCACTTTCAATTTGTGCTTAGGTGTCACACGGTGATATTTAAGCGATCGTAGAATTTGCACTAAAAACATTACTTACACAACTAAAGTAAAACTAAGAAAAACCTAATCCAAAGAATTTTGATTAAAAAGATTGCTTACGCAATTAGAGAAAATCACAATCTCTTTAAAATTGTTTTTTTTTTTTTCCTTTACCAATGGTGCAATAAGTAAGATAGTTTTTTTTTTTCCACAATCAGTTTTTTTTTTTTCCACAATCAATTTGTGCCTAAGTGTGTCATACCGTAATATTTAGATGATTGTAAAAGAAAAAAAATTCCAAAATGTGAAGTTGCCACTCATTTTTTTTTGTCAAAAGTAAACCTAACACCGGTCCTAAAAATTCTTCTAGATAAAATGTTGCTCACAAATAGAAAATACCATAGTCATTATAGTGTGTTCTTTAAAACCTAACATAGGTTCTAAGAATTCTTTTAGCTAAAATATTGCTCACAACTGGAAAAAAAACCATAATCTTTATAGTGTGTTCGCGCAATAGATTGAAAGAATTTATTTATATAAATCTAATTTTATGTCTGCTTTTATCCTAAATTATGAGTATATTATTAAGCATTTTCTAACCAATTCTAGATGAGGTGATCTAAAGACTGAAAAAAAACTCTATCCCTCACTTAAGTTGTCATTAGATCGTTGAAATCTATTCAGAAAATTAGAAACTATGGCTTAAAATCTATTTACAAATTAAATATCGATATCCAATAAAACAAGATTAAAAAAAAAATAGCTAGCTTATTGCTGGCTTGTCATTAACCAATAATTTCTCAAAAAAAAAAAAAAATGAAGAAGAAAATAAAATTATACTATGTAAGTCCCTAGTTATTTGGGAATGAAAATATACTAAAATTAACCCTACCACTTTCTTATTCCTTAAGTTTAGACAATAAACATACAAACATCAAATTATGCAATTTGATCCTTATTTTCTTAATTTTGATTATAAAAACCATAAAAATTATTCAATTAAATCCTAATATCTCGGTCATAATCACAAAAATGAATACAAGACTCCGTGAATCATAAAGGCAATCATTCAAAGGCATAAAAGAGCATAGTTCCACACAAAATGAGCCAAGGCAAACAATTATTGAATTTAAAATTGAAGGATTAACGACTTAATTACGTGAATCCAAAACACGGGGCCGAAACGCAGGATAGAGTCAAATCAGAGACCAAACTGAACAAAGAAAGCAAAATAAGTAGTTGTTGAAAAAGCAAGACATCCTGAAATTTTGGAATTAATTATTTATTTCGATACATAAATGTAGAAAAAAAAAAGCATTTTTTATTTTTTATTTTTTGTGTAAAAAACTCAAAAAAATAACGAATCTTTTTCGTGATAAAAAAATTTAAAAAATAGATTGTTGGAAGAAGAAAAAAAGACAAAAAATAAAAAATAAAAAAACCAAGTCAGGCTCGCATGCTTTTGCTAGCTTATGCGTTTGGCCAGCCCTGTTTGGTCTGCTTCTCTAGGCCTATGTGGCTAACTAGTTCGAAAAAAAAAGAAAAAATCTGTAACTTCCAGCAAATTCAAGTTTGCCTGAATCTTTGTTAGAAAGTCACTAATTTAGTCTCGAACCTCAAAAAACTCATTTTTAGTATTATTTTTTCCTCCATATGCCTGAAAATTATTGAAATAAAGTTAATAAACTTGTTTGAAACTTTAAAAATTATTTTAATGCATATTAAAAAAAATCAAATCAAAAAAGTTTTTTTTTGTTTCAATCTATTTTTTTTTATGATTTGATGGCTTGAAACCACTGTAAACAAACTTTTTTCTTCAAAATAAACAATATAAATATAAGATCAACGTTAAAATTGATTGTAATAAGAGCCGATCATCACTGTCTCTTTTCTTCTATCTTTTTGTTTCTCTATGCTCTTTGCATTTAGGAATTAAAACGTATGACAAATAAAGTTTTGAATCAATTTTTAAAATTTTTGAAAACATTAGGGCAAGTATAACTGACATATAATTGCTTGAAAAGTAGCTTAAAAAAAAAAAAACAGAAAAACAACCAAAAAAACTACCGTGTTGGAGTACACAATGTGCTACTGTTAACTCAGACAAATTATTTTTAAGGAGTACGTAAACTTGGTGTGAGTTAAACAAAATTTCTCAATGAACACATACATGATATTTTTTTAATAGATAAAATAAGTGATTGAATTAATGGGCTGAGTATCCAGCCCATTACCATCCCTGACCACAATAGGCACAAGAGCCCTATACAACGATTAGACCAGAGCATATCCTTGGATTCTACCTATTTTGACTGTCAACAAAATTGAAAATACAGAAGGAAAGGTCTTTCGAGAATTTAAGGATCAGGCCCATTGCCATTTTTACATCTACTTTCTAAGGGCCCAGTCTATCTTTGTGGGGTTGGGCTAAACTGTAGATCGTTTCATGCATCAACACCGCCGCAGGAACAAAAGATCCATACGATTTCAAAGCTTAAATATTTAATTAATCCATATATTTTAAAACTCATCAATAACTTAATATTTAAATCAGTTTCATATTCTTTTATAATTGATTTCATTTTTCAATTTTTGAAAAATAAATGAATAAAGGAGAAGTAATTGAAATGGGGATATTCGATTAGGAAACAGATGCATTTTTAGAACAACAAATATTAAATTAAAAATAGTCAATAATAATCAAGAAATTGTTTAATTATTTTTTATAATACAAAGACTAATTAAATAATTTTGATAAAATAAGACCGAGTTGTAATTCACTATTTACAAATTTATATGTGACTCCTTGGACTGTAGCTAGAATGTTTCTGGAAATAAATTAATTAGATAGAGATATGGAGCATGAAAAACAAAAGCTCAAAAAGAGAAAAAGGAAAAAAAAAAAGTTGCATTCAAAATAAATTCAGCTAAGAATGCAAAAGATGGAGAAAAATAAGAAATTAAGAAAATTTATCTATATGAAAGACCCAAATTTAGAGTGACATTTTTTACCAAAGCTTTTTTTAGAGTTCTTACGCAAAATTGTGTGCGGTTTTAGAATGTTGAAATATAAACTCTGACCTACTGCTCGTTTTTATACCAAAATCTTTAAACATATCATATATATTTTATTATTGTCAAACTATATAAAAAAAAAAAAAAAACAACGATCCAATTTCATAATAAAAGAATTTAAAAATAGATTTTTAGAAGAAAAAAGACAAAAAAAAAAAAAAAAACTAGGTGGGGCTGCTAGCCTTGCACAACTATCCAAGCTATATAAAACAAATAATAATATAGAACTTGTAACTTTCCATGAACTCAAATTCGTTAGAATCTTTGTAAAAAAGTCATGAGTTTAGTTTTAGACTTTAAAAAACTCATTTTTTCGTTATTTTTTTTCCTCTAAACACCTCTAAATAATCAAAATAAGTTTAACAAACTCTTCTTTTTAAGAGAAACAATATGAATATAAGATCAGAGCTGACCATAACTATCTCTCTCTCCTCCCTTCTCTCTTCTCTCTACAACCATCAACAAAAATGTCACAAATAAAATTTTTAAAAATATTAAGGACCAAAGTATAAAATTTAGTATAATTCACATAAAATTGCCTAAAAATAAAGAAAGAAAAAAATCATATTTGAGTAGCCTTGCAGTAAACTCAACACTAAAACCCTCCTGCTCTTTTATTATTATTATTACTACTATGATAAGAACATAATAGGGTATATGATAGTATGATAATGAAAAATTCTTAATTTAAAAAGCATATGTCTAATATATAAAAGTAGATGAATCAATTAACCATGTTTTAATTACAAGCTTCATTATCTTTTTTAGACTACACTCCGCCTCCATACGTAGTAGAAGATAGAGCATGCACCGAAGAACGTCCCTTGCATACTCAAGGTCAAGGATTCTATAAGATGTAGAAAAGCATAATTAGTTAAGAGGTATAATTAACACCACTAAAGAAATCAGAAAGAAAGAAACATCCTAGAAAGAGTTTTGAAAAAAATAAAAATCAATTATGAATGCCAACAACCCTATGAAGTCGAGCAAAGGAAACAGATTCTTGAAATTGTAGGGTCGTCGTAATTCAATGTCAAGGTAAAGGATTCTCAAAACTGAGTTTCAAGTCTTAAAACAGTGCACTACACACTTTTTTGGAGCCCAAGGGGCCAACACAGTAACAATCCTAAAGGCGTGCGTTAACCTCTGTAGTGGAAGATTGCTCTCCCGTACGTCCCGTGCAGACTTATTGTGGTGTTAAATAGTCAAGGCCATCCATCTAAAATAACAGAGTGATACTTAAGCACAACTCAATCTATTAGAGATGGAGATACCATAGTTTCAGCTGGTGGAACCTATGAATTGGGATTTTTCAGCCCTGGCTAATCCAAAAACTGACATGATATGGCAAAAAACTTGTCCAGACAGCAGTTTGGGTTGCCAACAGAGAAACTCCACTGAAAAATTCATCAGGTGTTGTACGGCTTACTAACCGAGGACTTCTTGTCCTCCTCAATCGTTGTGGAAGCATCATTTGGTCTTTCAACACAACACACCAGCCAGGAATCCAGTTGTAGAGCTTTTGGATTCAGGAAACCTTGTTGTGAAACAGCTGGAGGTTGATAATAACCTGGAAAACTCATGAACATCCAGGTAATGCATTAGTACCAGGCATGAAGGTAGGATGGAATGGAATAACTGGCATGGACTGGTACTTGATCATGGAAGTCACCAGATGATCCTTCTAGAGGTAATATTACAGGCACCCTTGGTCCTTACGTATTTCCGGAGTTAGTAGACTTGGAAGATTCAAAAGTGAAGCATCGATTGGACCATAGAATCGTCTGCAATTCAGTGGTATGCCTCAAGTAAAAGCAAATCCCGTGTACAAATTTAAATTTGTTTTTAATGAGAAGGATATATGTTACTGAGAACAACTTCATAATAGGTCAAGGCATTGCAGGGTCATGTTAAGTCAGAATGGTGATATACAGCACCGCCGCTGGATTGAGAAAAATCAAAGCTGGTTTCTTTACGAAACAGCGAATTCCGATAATTGTGAAAGTTATGCACTCTGTGGTGCAAATGGTATCTGCAGTATTAACAACTCTACGGCATGTGATTGCTTGAATGGATTTGTACCAAAAGTAATTAAAAGAGATTGGGAGAAGACAGATTGGTCAAGTAGTTGCGTTAGAAAGACTATACTAAATTGTTCTGGAGTTGGGATTCGGAAGCTCTCAGGTGTGAAGATGTCGGAGACAAGAAACTCAAGGTTTAACAAAAGTATGAACCTTAAGGAGTACAAGAACACTTTGTTTGAAAAACGGAAGTTGTACTGCGTATTCAATCATTATCGCAGAATAACTTATGAAACACGAACGATCATTCCAGTGGATTAATTAGTTACAAAATCACTTTAAAAAAAACGAACGATTCATTTGCATGGACAATCCAAGCATAGTTCAAGCTTCAAATCATATTGTGCCATAATGCAAGTTTAAAACTGCATCCAGCTCTCTATATCTTAAAACAAAGTACTGGAGATGATTAGGTACAAATTTGACAGAAACTAAACTGATTTCACTAAGCCAGTAGCAATCTAGAAGACCTTGCAACCCCCTCCATCCATGTCCAACATGGCTTCGATTTCATCCCCATTCTCTAGTCCAAGCTGCACGTACAAATCAAAAATTTAAGAGAATAATCAAACTAAAAAAAGACCAGAATAAATGAAAACCAAAATTATTGCAGCAACAAAACATCCGAACAGAAGCACCAAATTGAAATCCAAGTAGGAAAAAGCTCGTCGGCGCTCGAAGTTTGAATTTACTTGAAGTTAACTCATCAGCAAAGGCTTGAAATTAATTGCCAAAAAAAAAAATTGTTATGATATGTGAACTATAGCGTGTAGAATGTAACGTTAATTAAATCTATTCACTGAAGAGGAATTCATCTAGCTAAGATGGTTAAATCAATAATCATCAATGAAAACAAATTTTGTTTCTTTTGATATGTGAATTCAAACCAGCAGATCATACGGCGTGAGTCAAAATAATGTAGCAAGTCACCACTCACCAGTGGAAAGGAGAGGGTGCCGAAAAAACACTTTGCCGACATTATTTGCTATTCTTATTGGTTCTGGTAATTTCATTTAATGCAAAAATTTCTTTTCTTTTCTTTTTTTAAAAAAAGGAGAGGATAGCTACAGTATGTTTTATATTCAAATTATTCATATTATTGAAAGAGAAAATATTAAAGAATTTTTTTCTACATGTTCATCAAGATGGACTTGAATATAACATCATCATTGAAAGAGCCCTGCTCTATGAGATAAATGCACCCATCGGCACGAGATACATAACCCTAAAATTCTCCACAAAGAGTGGTGTGGTTAGGGTCAGAGGTAACCAACCCAATCAGTATCAAACCATGCAGTTAACAGAACTGGACCAGATTAAAAGTAAAAGCCTTGTGTAATGGTTCCTTTAAGATAGCGTAAGATATGCTTGACAACCAATGAACAGTCTTTGAAGCATGCATAAATTAGCTTATTTAATTTACAACAAAGGTGATGTCGGACCTCGTGAATGTGAGGTATTGTAGAGTACCAACTCTGAAACGGTACTGCATAGTATCAAGAAGCAAATCACCATCACATGAGCAAATTAAGTTTTGAGCCAAAAGCTACAGATGAGCTGATGGGCTTTGCACCCTCCATTTTATTTTTTTGCAGTAAATCAAACACATACCAGGATTGACTTAGATATAAATCGTTAGAATCCCAAATATCTCAATGCCAAGAAAATAATTAAGAGTTCCAAGGCCTTTCATTGCAGAGAGATGATGGAAATTTTTCAAAAAACGATCGAGTGATTTTAGATTCATGTGTACCAGTGATTATGATGTCATCTACATAAAGCATAAAAATAATAGTAAATTTACTAGTATGATAAATAAATAATAGTTATCAACTGGAAAAAAAAAAAAAAAAAAAAAAAAGTAAAACCCAAAAAATAAATATAAGAGATACAACAAATAAACCATGCTCGAGGAGCTTGTTCAAGTTTATATATGGCATTTTGAAGTTTGCACACCTGAGTAGGTTGTGAAGTATGAACCAAACACGGAGGTTGTATCATATAAACTTCTTAATTTAAAACACATGATGAAAAGCATTTTTGATATAAACCTGTAGTACAGGCCAACCATTTGGTATAGCAAGAATAAGAACCATCCAAATAGTTGTAGGTTTGACATCGGGACTGAAGGTTATATAATCAATTTCAGGCTGTTGATGAAATCCTTTAACAATTAAATGAGTCTTGTTAGATTCATCAAACGGATGCTGGATTTGATAGACCCAATCACACCTACAAATGTGTCCGAAACTAGAGACCATGTATGATTCCTTTGTAAGGGATTGAAGTAAACTCTGTGAAAGCACTTGGCGATTTAAACTCCCATATCCTTCACAGTGGTGAACAAATCCCAATTTTTTTCCTATACCACCATATCCAAGCCAGCTTGATTATGAACCTAACAAATTGTACTTGATTGAAGTAATGGTAGTACAACACAGTTCACATATTTGAATGGTTAACTTTTTCAGATCTCTTAATTTGCTGCTATTTAAAAAGATGCAACATTGGACTGTGATTCCTTCGACACTATCTAATTAATTAGCCAGCAAACAAATCTTGTCCCTTTAGCTTGAACAACAAAAAACTTTGGAATAGCCTTATTGCAATATCCTTGAGTTTGTTCTGTCAAGAACTTGTGGTTTCAAGTTTATGCAATTTGATTATACTCACATACAGATATGACAACTTTGTTCTGCATATTGAGAAGCATAGAGTTAAAACACCTTCTTCTTCTTTTTTCTAATCCTCGAAAGTATACCAGCCGGGTCCAAAAATTAAGACAAATACATTGCTTTTCTGTAAACGGATAAAATAAGAGTAGCTATTTAAATTTTTTTTTTTTTTTTTTTGTATATACAAGGATTTAAACATAAGATCACTTACTTAATCGACTAAATTTTTTTTTATTTAAGTCAATCCTCTTGTATAAAAAATTTAAACAATTTTGTTAACCTTACAAGAAGGAAATAGAAATTTTTTTTCTAAAAAATAAATAAGAATATTTGAAACTATCGTTATGTACTTAAACATGGATATTAATCTGGATCAATATTGGAATTTGAATTTTTAAAATACTAAATTCATCTTTTTATTTTTTATTGGAAAACTTTTGGATTTCCTATTTTCCTTGTAGAAGAATTTTGACAAAGTATTTTTAATTGGAAAACTTAGATTTCCTATTGTCCTTTGTAGAAAATTTTTGACAATATGGGTGTACTAACATAATTCATAGCTACATCTTAAACTCTTAATTTCTGTAAAGATGAGATCACAATTTGCACAAAAAACCTGAAAGCCTTATATTATTATTATTATTATTATTATTTTAAAGGAAAGAAAATTTGAAAATAGACTCTCTTTTTTTATGCAATACCCATTTTGCTTTAATGGTAATAGTTTACATTTTGCGGAAGGGTCAGTAATAAATAGAACCTTTAGTTTTTTAAAAAGGATTAAATAGTCTCCTTCATTTTAATAACAAATTAATTAATTCTCTTATTTTTAAATCAATTTGTAACTCAATAGTTTTTTTCTTTTCAATTTATTTATTTGTTTTAATAAATAGAAAAAATAAAAATAAAATCGATAAGAAAAAAATTAAAAAATAAAACAATATTAAATTAATTATAATCAATATTGATTAAAAACCTATTAATTAATTTTTAAAATAAAAGAGACTATTTAATTTGTTTTGTAAAACTAAAGTAACTAATTTATAATTTACTCCTTTTGCAGAAAGGCATATCTCTCATGATATCATGTTCCATGTTGGGAGCCGTCGAGCCGAGTTTAATATTCGGTGTTAAAACCCGCAGGCACCGCTTCAAATAGAATTCATTGAGAACTCGCCACGTCATGACCAAGTGACATTTCACTTACGTTGCAAACTCTAATTGGTTAATCGTTATCACAGAAGGTGAAATATTTCTGTTATTGCAAAATCATGGTCTTAACATGTACCCCCCATTATTCACTTGTGTGTACATAAGTTTCTTCTCTTGTCTGTGGTCTCTCTCTCTCTCTCTAAACTGAATTGCCTCATTCAGTACCAAAAGAGAAGAAATGGGTGGTAGAAAGAGAAGGAAAGTGCAATTGTAAGTTGGGTTTTGTTTTTATTAACTGAAAACACTGTAAAGTTTGTTACTTTACCTTTTTTTCTTATCTTAATTTGTCATTTATTTGCTTTAGTGTTAGGGTTTCTTATCAAATCATTTTAGGGTTTTAGAGATTCTTATATGTAGGGGTTGTGTACTGACGCAAATTGTTTTTTTTTTTTTTTTTTTTTTGCTTTTTAAGATTGTGTTTACCAATTTTGATTGAATTGTGGAAAATTGGAATTAAAGTTGAATAATCTCATTTCGGTATTATGCGGGTGTGATTTAGATATGATGCCTTGGCTTTAGAGTGATTTCACTTATGGGTGGTGCTTTATGAAAATCTCGATGTTAATGTCAATTTGAATAGTAATCATAGAGGGTTTCTTAGAATTGCCATAATGTGTGTCAGGGTTTTGTGATTTTGATCTGTGCTGATTCTTTTATTTGAGGGCTATGAGCTTTCGATTTATGCGATCGATCTCTGGATAAACAATGAAACTAAGATCTTTTGATAATTTAGTTTGAATTCAGTTTTGGAACTTTATGGTGGCTTTTGATACTTATTTAGCATAGAATTGGTGGTCACGATCACGATCTTTCGTGAACAAATTGCTTTTTTACTATATTGATCTTATACCAAAGATTCAGTTACCAAGATTATATAATTTATGCTCTTTTGCTGCAATCAATTCCTTTATATGGCAGCGCTTTTTTCCGATTGCTTCTAACGTTACTCCATACTTTTCTTGATTTGAGAGATTCCACTTTTCAATAAAGGTCCCAATCTATCGCTACTATCCCAAAATGTGAAACTGCAAATCGGCTATAAATTGCATTTTATACTCTTTGGCCTTTTAACTACAAATAGCAAACTAGGAATGTATCTGATCTCAGTCAAAGAATTTTTGAACTTTTATTGGAGTTACTTTTGAACTTCAATTAATATAGCTGCTTTTGAATAATTTATAGTTGGTTTTGCATTTTATTTCCTTAATGTGTTTTCCTTGACCTAGGTTATCTGTGAGAGTGGTGGATGATAAAAGAACAATAACAAAGAATAAGAAAGCAAAGTTGGAAATGCAAACTTGGTCTGATCTTCCCATAGAACTTCTGGAACTGATTCTGTGTCGTTTGTCACTAGAGGATAATATCCGTTCCTCTGCTGCTTGCAAGAGATGGAACACTGCTGCCATTTCTGTCAGAGTGGTAAACCAATCACCGTGGCTTATGTATTTTCCAAAATTCGGTAACATGTATGAGTTCTATGATCCAGCTCAGCGCAAGACCTATTCTCTTGAGTTGCCAGAGTTGTATGGGTCAAGAGTTTGCTACACTAAAGATGGTTGGCTGTTGCTATACAGACCCAGAACAAACCGTGTGTTTTTCTTCAATCCATTTTCTCGGGAAGTGGTCAAACTGCCAAGATTTGAATTGACATATCAGATAGTTGCCTTCTCTTGCGCCCCAACATCTAACACTTGTGTAGTTTTTACAGTTAGGCACATCAGTCCCACAATTGTTGCAATCACTACTTGTCATCCAGGGGCAACTGAGTGGGTTACTGTTAATTATCAGAATCGCTTGCCTTTTGTGAGTAGTATTTGGAACAAGATTGTTTTCTGCAATGGATTCTTTTACTGTCTAAGTCTTACTGGTTGGCTTGGTGTTTTTGACCCACTGGAGCGTACTTGGAATGTTCTTGCTGTGCCTCCCCCTAAATGCCCTGAGAATTTTTTTGCAAAAAATTGGTGGAAGGGAAAGTTTATGTCAGAGCATAATGGAGACATTCTAGTTATTTATACATGCTGTAGTGAAAACCCCATTATATTTAAGTTGGATCAGCCAAAGATGGTCTGGCGAGAGATGAAAACCCTTGATGGTATGACTCTTTTTGCCAGTTTCTTGTCATCTCATTCAAGAACTGACCTCCCTGGAATGATGAGAAACAGCGTCTACTTCTCTAAAGTTCGTTTCTTTGGAAAACGCTGCATATCTTATTCACTCCAGGATTGTAGATATTATCCACGTAAGCAGTGTCATGACTGGGGGGAGCAAGATCCTTTTGAGAATATCTGGATCGAACCACCTGAAGACCTCTCAGCCTTCATTTGAAGAGAATACCAGTGATGCTTGTTGTGTATCTACAAGTTATGCTGGTATGCTACTTTAGTTAACCATTTTTCATATGACATTATATTTTCTTTCTTGCACAGGTTTCAATGCTGCTGTTGCTTGTATTTGTTGTAGCACATGCAAATGTGATTGTCCTTAAAAAACTCAGTTAAATTCAATGATTATGTTTAAAATGCTTGTCTGATGTAAAGCTAAAAGACGTGCCAATTGAAAACCAAGAATGGTTTGAGCACCATATATTTGCTAACACCATGACCAAGGAAAACTTATAAGTGGATATCACCATGTTTTTATGAACTTTTAACATGTAATACAAGAAAGAATGGACTGGTGTTTATCAGTGACGCTAAAAGCTTAGAAATGCCAAACTTAGTATTATCATTATATTTGCACATCTATTTACTCTAGCTCAAACATCTTGTACAAGGATCTGTCCGTAATTGGTATTTCAGCAATAAAAGCTTTCGATGGCCAGTGACTAACATCTTTGTATTTGCCTCCCTCGATGCTACATGATTGTTTCATATTTAGTTATATTTTTATTCTATATCACTGTGTTTGCAGCATTCCATGGAGCAAGGTTAGAGCGCCCCTCACATGCATGGAGATGGAGCTGTTCGTTATTGAAGAGTCTTCAAAGCTTTATGATGCAGTACCACACAAATGCAGTGCGCTTGAAGCATATATTAGGAAGTTCTTTCACAGGGGAGTGAATAACCTTGAGGAATACCAAAATCTACTCCACATACGCTAGATTGTGCACTTTAAGGATCTGAAATTTTAGATCCATTAGAAGGGCCACTCTGTATGATATCTGTGCATTCTTAGGCATATAATGTGTTACAAATATGTTTCAAATAACTATGTTTATTATTTTTCCTATTGAGGAATAGCTAATTTATATTTCGTAGTTTAACAAAGTTGGTAGCGTGGCGATATTGATTAGAAGCGATAAAGGGAATCAGCATGAGAATGCAGTGTTGGTCAAGTATTACAGGATTTGTGTTGCTGTTGGTGTTTTTGGGTATTTCACTGCAAATTCGTGGTTTCTGAAGCAGAAGTGATCTCATTCGAATAAATCACAGATTAACAATGTGCAAATTGGTAGCTGTTGTTTTAGCTATTACATTAACGCAACAGGCTGTTGTAATTTATAATTATCATTACCTTTGGTATTTTAATGATTTGACTCTGGAGGGTTCAGTTTGATTAGCATTTGGCAGAACCAATCTTTAATTAAGCTCTAAAAGAAAAATAAACTTTGGAGCTTGGGCAGCGCATTGTCAACTAGAAAACCATGGAACATCCTTTGCTCTGAAATTGCAATTGTAATCTTCTTTCACGGGGAAGCAAGACAAGGGACAACCTTCTTGTTGCAAGCCTAATGCTGTAGAAACAAGTGATTGAACGAGATAATAAAATTATTTGCTGCATCATTGAAATGGAAATCACCAGTTATCCTGCCATGCGAGAGAAGACGAGATGCAAGGTTAAAGAGATGACGTTGCTTCATCCAAAAATACATTTAACTACAAGATGTCTTCAGTCCCTTGACATAAATAAGCTATCAGTTTACAGAAAGTATGACTTGCATTCTCGGACAACCCCATGACCTCAAGCTAAAACAAACAATGAATTAAGTTGTGCTCAAAAGCCATCGTGTGTTAGTACACCAGTTTTCCTTTTCATTAGCATTTTAATCTGATTCTCCACTCCCAAAGAAAAAAAAAAAGCCATATAATTGAGTTTTAGAAAATATAGGCCTCTTTTCCACTAATAACTTAGTGATTTTTCTTGCTCGTTCAAGAAAAATAATCAAATAGTAACATTTTCTTCCCCTTTGCGTTTCCACTACTAAGATTAGTATGGGTTATAGCGGCTGCGTCCACGGCTACTATCATTACTACGTCTTCCACCACTTGAACTCCCAGCACCACTACCCCTGCCACCCCGGGGCTGTGGTGGAGGGCTGTGCGTTTGCATTCCAGGCTGTTGGCTGAAGCAAAATAATAAAAATCTGTTAAATTCTGGCTCACAAATAATTATACTGCAAAGCAAGAACCATATAAGTACAGGAATCAAAGTCAGGATTTGTAAGCCATTAAAATCACTGATCTGGCAAGTCCAGCATCAAGGAACTGGAGTAAAACATCTTTTCACAGCATAGTACGGTCAATCATCATGTTCATTGTGCTCAGGGTATGACACTGTCAGAATGTAGCTGCGCTCAATTCTCAGTACAACACATTTGAGAAAATTTTTAAGGGTAATTATTATTACAACATGAAAATAGAGTAAGGTATTTCCAAACACTGCACTTCCCCGAAGCATTTCAGATTGAGGAAAGGAGGTTGTTGGACAAACAAGTAAACGAAAGGATGATGACAAACAATCAGCCAACCAATAGAAAGAGTGTACAAGCAACTGATACAATGCAATGGAATAAGAAAAATACAGAGTTCTAACTTGTTAATTTACGTATCTGGTTCCTGTTGGATGTGCAACTGATAGAAAATACTTACAGGACATATCCAATCCTTCCATCAGGCAAAAGCATTGGCATCATTGCCATGCCAGCAGGAGTCGGTCCCCTACCATAGATGACTGGCTGCATGATTTTTCATGTCAATAAGAAAATATAATTGATCAGAAAGCCTAAATTTTTCAACATGCACCTCATAACAAAGGGAACAAACAAATCCTTATCGAGTACACACTTCTGTTTATACCAACTCTACCCCGCAGCATCCTTATAGCAATCTTGCAAATCTAAAATCATAACAATTGGCAGGACAAATTTCTGCCAGCTATAAGCACACCCATCTTCATTTCTGTCTTGAAATGAAAAAAGAAAAAATGCAACTACCTCTTCAGCATCGAACCAAAAAAGAAAAATTGAAATAACTCAAATTTTTATGTTGACAAACTTTTCAAATATTTCCTTCCTTGATTAACCCTAGCAGACCACCATACAAATGCTTATTCTGTGAGTCAGAGTGCCACATGTGTCTGTGTGTGTGAGCAAACAATAGAACATCAACTTACTTGTCCAAACCCAGCAGCACCAAATCCTGCACCAAGAGCACCATATGCACCCCCAACTAAACCATAACCAATGCGTGGTGGAAAGCTTGAATGCGAGGATGACTTCTGTGAATTTGGCCCACCAGAAGACTTCTGATCTGCTTGAGGCTTTGCAAGGGAACAATCTAAAACTTGACCTACCGAACAAAAGAGCACCAGTCATCAATAGGGAGTATTCACATGGGAAAAGAGAAAAAAAAAGAAAAAGAAAAAGAAAGAGGATATGCTAGATTTGAGGAGGAAAAGTTACCATCAATTTCATATTTTTCAGTGTTCTTTAATGCCTTCATGGCACTTGACCTCTCTGCAAAATGCACAAAACCAAATCTGCTCTTTTCATGTCCTGGTTTTGCAGGTGGAAGAACTACTTTTGTAACTTTTCCATGATGCTCAAACAGCTGCCTTAGACTATCCTGATTAATGTCTTCTGGTAAATTCTTGACATACACTGCCTTGACCTGTACCAAATGTATTAAGTCAGTCGTGACTTGAAAACCTTTTAAAATAAACAATTCAAATATATAACCAAACTGCGCCTTACAGTTGCACAATAGCAATTGTCTAAGATGTTAAAAAAAAAAGATGGCAAAGTTGATCCAACTTGGTCTTGTGAGATGGGGGAAATGATGCTACTCATAACATCCAAGAAATAGGTGTGTTTGGCATCAATACCAAGAAGGCAACCAGACAAATGCAAAAGCATTTCAAGCAGATCAACTAACTTTACTGATAGTCAATGCAAAGCTCCATTAAGGTAAATAGTAAACAAAAGAGAAGATAATACAGCAGACCTGAGAAGCAGCAGAAGATCCAGCATTTTTGGGATCCGCCCAGCTCACAGTTGGAGCATTATCATCTAGCTTAAATTCTGGATTAGACATCATTTTTCTTGAGTATTCTGCACATGCATGGTTATAATACTCAATGAAAGCAAATCCACGATTCCGGCTCGGGTTCTGTGGGTCCTGTGGTAGATAAGAAAGTGCAATCAAGAAAAAAAAAATCATTACACAATTAAACATCAACTGGCTCGGGTTCCGTGGGTCATGTGGTAGATAAGGAAGTGCAATTAAGGAAAAAAATTCATTACACAATTAAACATCAACCTGGTTGTCTATGTATGTACGTAAAAAAACTTAAAGCACACAAACCTTCAACAACTCCACTGAATTAACTCCCGGCCCAATCTTTTTTACAGCCTTCTTCATATCTTCTTCTCCCCAGTTTCTTGGAACATTGCCAATAAACAATCTATGATTTGCTTGAGATGTTGAACACTTTACCTTTCTACCCTGAAAAGAAAATGGGCAGGAGTTAAAAGAAATGGAAACTTCCTAAGCTAAGAAGTCAGAAACTCTTTTTCAAAGAAACAAAAAAGGAAAATAACATTCAAACAACCTAAAATGAGAAATATAATAGTGAAGACAAATGCCATTGCCAGCATAAACCTGAAGTGATGGTCATGACTGATATTGTTTCTATAAAAGAACCCAGAAACACAATACCTTAAAATCCGTATTGTTCAGCTCTTCAATGGCCTTGGAAGCCAACTCCTTTGTTCTGAAAGTCACAAAAGCATAACCCTTTGACTCGCTTGAGTCTTTTCCCTTCATTATCCTTACCTGTTATCAGCATAAACAAGATTTAGTCCAACCAAAAAAATATATATATAGACACTGCTTTCGTATAGGCAAGATGAATTACCTCTGTTACTTCTCCAATAGATTCACAAAATTCCTTCAAATCCTCTTCAGAAGCATCATGGGGAATGCCACCAAGATACACCTCTGACCCATGAGGAGGAAGTGCAAGAAGCTCAGCATGTTTTCTTTCCTCACCTTCCTCCTCTTCACCATCTGAGCCCTTTTGTGACTCTGCTTCATCAGCAGCCTCTTCATTTTCTTCCTCTTCTACCTCCTCTTCCACCTCTTCCTCTATCTCTTCCACTTCCTCTTCTTCCTCTACTTCTTCATACTCAACTTCTTCTTCCATTGTCTCCTCGCCTTCATTGTCACCATCAAGGTCAACCTGCTCTTCAGGCTCAGCAGACTTTTCAGGGACATCTGAATCATCAGCAGATACACCACTTGCCCTTGATCTCGGCATCTTATGTATCTAACAAAAGAAGCTTGCAAGGCAACTGTGAAGCAAGCACAGAAGCCAGAAGCATTCACAGAAGGAAGAATGCAAGTATGGAAAGGTGGAAACAAAATGAGAGGCCAAATGGAGTAGCAGGATGAGAATCTCGACAGAATTTGTGCCATGAGATATTGATCCAAGGAGTCTTAATGCGGGTGATACTCAATTAAGGGATTATGAAAAATTAGCAAATAGCTTTAGCGACAGGCAAGAGAGAATTAGGAATGACAATAGAGAGGATAATGATTGATGATGATGATGTTCAACAGATGAAAAAAATACATACAATGAAGCAATGAATTTCTTGAAATTTTGATACTGGTACTGGCCCAAAAAAAAACAACAGCCAGCTTAATTGTTTAACTATCTATCTGGATCAATGCATCCAACCAAAAACAAAAGGAAGAAAAAAGAAAAAGGAAAAAAAACACAAGTAAATGAGAGATTGAACTAATGTGATTCACATCATAAATTACATAAGTATTATGACGTAATGTAACAAAAATGAAGAAGCTTGATATCTCATATAAGAATTTAATATCAAATGCAAGACATAATAACAACCAAAAGATACAGCCTTCTCTTGATTCAAACTCAAAAACTTTTTCAACCTACCCCCCACCCCAAAAAAGCAAACCCCAAAACTTAATTGCATCTTCTAAAGTCATGTGGGATTTACAGCTACGTTACTCCTTCTGTTACAAAATATCTTAGTTCATGCGCCAGTTGCAAACATTTCTTGCAAGAATTAAGTTCAGGTCAAACCAATTTCTGCCATTTATGAGCTAGTTCTGCACCTATTTTCTATTTATAACACTAAGGAAGCAGGAGATAATTAAAAAAAAAAAAAAAAAAGCCTCTTTTTTTCATATTAGCAGCTCTCTTTTAAAAATAAATAAATAAGTGAAGAAAAAAAGACGATTTCTTCCACAATAACATAATATTCTATGGCCATTGAGCAACTAGAACCAAAGCCAAGATAACCAAATAACCAAACTCACAATCTAATTCCAGACAATAATCACGTATACAAATAGTTTCGATTAAATTAATGTAAAAACCCAAGCATGTAACTTTAACTGCAACAAAAACGAAGAAAGAGAGAGTTTATTTTACCGTATTAGCAGCACGCAAATTCGAGCTAAAAAATCACAAATGACGAAGAAGGAGCTTTGAATGATTCTTTCTTCGACCAAAAAACCCTAACTTTTTTTTCCTCTTCCTTTCCGCTCTAATCGTTGAGTTCTTTCTGTTCTTTTGTTTTCGCGGGCCTTGCAATCTAAAGAAAAGGATGTCGCGCTGTGCCCTAATTTAATGGGCTAATTAATAAAGAATAACGACGCAATGGATAACGTTTACGTACCTACTCCAATGGCCCAATAAGGGATAGTACAGCAAATCAAAAATAAATAAGAATTAGGATAAAACAATACTACTAGCTCTTTTATTTAATGTCTGTAAAAAATGAAAGATTGAAAGCTAGAATGGATTTCAATGGAGATATAAATAAATAAAATAAAATTATGGGCGAATGAGATATACATACACCTTTGGTTGAGCTTGTTAATTTAAGAGAAATTATCACGAGGATGAGTATTGAAAATTGTGGCATGTTTTATACGTTTTTAATTATAGTTACTGCATAGCCATGTGGTGGTTAATGTCAAAAGAACTAGTGCAAGCGAAATCTTTCATTTGTCCTCCAACTGAAAATTAATTTGCACCGGATCTAGTAAAATCTCTGGGCAATGCATTTGTCAATACTAGACTAGACTCGTGAACTTCAAAAATAAAATGTTTATTAATTAACTCTAGAAATTAAATCTGCAAAGCTATATATTAGATCTAATTAAATTAATGTCAAAATTAAACAATTGGTCAATGATCGGTAGAAATTATAGATAATTATTGTTTTAATTTATAAAAATAACAGCTTAAATAACCGAATAGAATAGATGCAAGTAATGAAAAATGTGAAAGGAAAAATAAGTGTTGCTAGTAAAATGCATAGATAAATAGATGCTTAAAATCCAAACAGACGAGAGAATAAATAGGTGGATGGTTAAAGTCTAAACATATTGAGTTTTAAGTAGCGTTTAGTATGTGAATAAAAAAGCTTTGAGAGATGAGAAAAAGGAGTTTAGAAGTTTTGCAAATGATCAAAAAAATTAGAATCTCCTCACAATAATATAAGATTAGTATATATAATAAAATGAAGATGATCATTGACCGCTAAGATTGTATCACATCATATATGTCTAGACAATCACATTTGAGTTGAAAAAAATTGAATTTTTTTTTATGATAAACCACTTCAACTTGTTAGTGAAGGGTGAAAGAAAAAAAATAGATTTTTTTTATAGATCCTATTCTAAGCCCACCAAGTCAATCTTTTAAATGTATTCCAAAAACAAGACACAAATATTGACCCCGTTAAAATACCCATATTCATCCTTGCACATGCCGTGTTGAGCGAAACTCATTCTTAATTCAATTTATTTGTTGCATAGTTTAGACTCATGTAAAAAAAAAAAAAAACCATAAATTAGTATATAATAAAATATGTTTAATTATTAATTAATTTTTATGGATAAATTAAGCATATAGAATGTACCACTCCAGCATTTTAGGGAAAATATTTTGATGCTTCGAGAAAGAAAAAAAATAAACTTAAGGGGAAAAGAAAATCTTTGACGGGCCTTAAGTGCATCGGTGCATGCCTTTAAAATTCTATATAAAATTACGAGTCATGAAAATACAAATTCCATAAAGATGTGTAATTTTGCTAGCTATTTTTCTTTCCTCTCGATAAGTTATTGAAGATTTTTTAAAATGAAGGTATACTCCCAAATTAATTTCGTGTGATTCTCCACATAATAATTTTGGAGACAAGTACTCTTTAGTACAAGAAATTAGTATGCCTTCGCTTTTGTTGAAACTTGCAAGTTTATCACAAATGACAAGCTTGAATTTGTTGTTGTTGATGATGATGATATCACACGGAAATTTTCAAAGATTGTGAAAAAATATATGTTTAAAATGTAGAGTTAGCACTTAATTTATTTATTTTTAAATGAAAATTAAAAAAAAAAAAAAACTAACACTAGTCCTTAAGAGTTCTAGTTAAAAAAATTGATTATACAACTAAAAAAGACTACGATAATCTTAATGTGCCCTTGCAAAAAGGTTACTTTGTACTTTTAGCTTATGAAAATTCATTCAAGCAAGTCTGTTTTATGTCTACTTGTCTATTCCGATTTATGAGTTTGATTATTTAAGTCTTTTCTAACCAATCTTAAATGAGGTGATTTAGAGACTGAAAAAACACTTGGTCTCTCACCTAAGTTGTCAATGAGATGTTGGAGCCGATTTGAAAATGTTGGAAGTTAGGGCTTAAAGCCTATTTGTAAATTAAACAAACCCATGCCCAAATTAAAGCCCCGAAATTTAAACAACAAAGATTTGGACTTTAGGCTCAAGTTTAACTACCAAACTATAAAAATAAAAATTACAAATTCTAGAGAAATATGGACACGAGACCTTAAGTCATTAACCACTTGCCACACTATTTAAAATAATAAAAATAGGTCCAAGATCCAAGTTTCACATTTAAAGCTAGATCTATAAAAAATCCTAATTAGTGACAACCATAATATAATATAATATAAAATAAAATAATGGTAATAAAAAAAAATAATAAATAGTAATAGTAATAAATAAATAAATAAACTCATCTTTAGAATCAAATTGATCTTAAGTTCTAAACCTACCGATCTAGATTTATTTAGATTGACATCACATAAAAAATACTTCAAGTGCACAACATAAATAGATTAGGCATGATCTCATATAACGTAAAGACAACCATACGGAAAATAAAATAGCCAATTAGCCTCTACTAGGTCTCTAGCATACTGATTTGTGTTGGCTCATTTTAATTTATCACCATAAAGGAAAAAAAAACAACAACAACAACAACTAGCCTATTGCTAGTTTCATTATTGACCAAAGGTTATTGAGAGACTTTTTGTATGGAAAATGAGATTAGATGATATATAATATGTCATCAACTTAAATGGAAATTTAAAATAATAATTATTATTATCAAATAAAAAATGAAATTATGATAAACTCTAAAAATATCACATGCTCTTGCTCGAGTCGGATTAGGTTTTAGACACTCAAAAATACTAAAGAAATCAAATTCAAAGCTTTTTAAACATGTTAAATGAAATCAATGACTCCCAATTCACTTATTTTTAACTAAGTTCAAAATCAAACAGACTTAAATTCAATAAATCATCCAAATCTTATATTAATTACATAATTAATGTTAGGCTTATTATACCAAAAAAACCACAAACTTTATACTTTTTAATCATATTTATACATTCTTCAGCTTTTGGACAAAAAATATACGAACTAAGTTTATATTAACGATATTAGCACATGTAACTTTTTTGGCTAAAATTTCACTAACGGTATCATGCTAATATTTATTTTGTTAAATTTATTGCTATCATATGAATCTTGATTAATATTTTTTTTGATTTTTTTTATTGTAATTAAAACCTTATCATATTTTTTATTTTTAATTCATACTAGTTAGTGTTGATTATGTATAAGAGATTGTACAAGATTGATGAAAAAGAGTTAAAAACTTTTGAAAATCACAAACCAATGAAAAGAAGTAAAGTTAGAGCAACAAAAAGTTGCTTCTAAAGGAAGAAGCTAAAAATAGTTCAAGTGACAATCATTTTTTTTTTTTTTTAACAAAAGTGTTGTTGTTTGGGTGCTTTTTGATCAACCATTAAAAATTAATATTAATTTGTAACATTTTACATTATTTATTGAATATTTCCTCTATGTTTTTTCCTTTGTGGTTAGCTAGTAAGTTAAATATATTTTTTATAATATTTTTCATTTGTTTACATATACTCGCTAACTAAGTCATTGTTGTTTTTTTCATGCGAAATTAACTTCTAACATGTAGACATCCCATCGCACTTCTCATCTCTGTTTTTTTTTTCAAAAACCTTGCAACATTTCATCTATTATTTGAAAGACATTCACGGGTGAATTTCAATAATTTATTCATCAATGTCCAAGCAAAATATTTTTCCTTTAATCGATGCATAAAAACAAAGCTTCCAAAAAAATAAAAAATATCGTAAATATTGTAACTTCCATTGATATTCTAAATCATTGGGTATAATATTTAAATATTTGCTTAACAAAAATTAATGGACCAATTTTCTCCGATTAATACTCAATTCATTTTTTTTTAACAAAACAAGTTGTTGTTTGGGGGCTTTTTGATCAACCACTAAAAATTAATATTTGTAACTTTTTACATTATTTATTAGATATTTCGTCTATGTTTCTTTCTTTATAGTCAGCTAGTAAGTTTAAATATTTTTTTCTAATATTTTTTTATATGTTTACATATACTTGCTAAATAAGTCATTGCTACCTTTCTCATGTGAAATTAATTAATTTCTAATATAGACATCCGTAATGCTCGTCAACCAAGACACCTCACTCGAAGGGTCACGATCGAACGAGTTGATACTAAAACTTATATCATTTTAACTTTCTTAAAACTAACTTCCTAATTTAATAGTATTTATCTTTAAATATGTCAATTTAAAATATATCATTAATAATATATAACCATAAGATTTTCTCATCAACATAGTGGAAGCGTTATTCTAAAATTTCATCATTTATAAAACATCTCTCACCATAATTAACATTTTAAATAATCTTGTTTCAATATTCATACTCAAATTCTCAATAAAAGTTTTCAATATTCATAAGTTTAATATTATTATATTTATTAAATATTCATTTAAAGCATAACCTAATTGTTAGAAACGATCAAAGGTAGGCACATAAGTCACTCGGTCACTAAGAGCAATATCCACATCCTCAACATTTGCATCATTGCCTACATCACGGAATGGACGTGAGATACGAATATCCCAATAAGTGTAACATGTGTGATTTTACGTTAAAACTTTTTGTGCATGAATGTCTTCAAACTTCTTTTCCTCATTTGAGTCCACTAGAACATTCTAACACCGATTAGTAAAGTTTAGCCTCAATAAAAGCATGCATAAAAACATTAACCTCAATATTTAACATTCAAACCTCTACCGTTAAACCTCTACGTTTATGCCTCAATAGGCAACCTCAACCTTTAAACCTCAATATGCATTAAAAAATGACCTCATTCGTTTACTTAAAATATTTTCTTTCAATCAACATATAAAACATATGTATGCATATGAATGCACCTCAACATCAATCACATAAAAATACATAGTATTTACATCCATGGTGTAGGTGAGTTACACTTACTTGATTCGTTTAAGACTACTCGTTTATCATAACCTTTATCTAATAATCAATACCTCGACTTGATTCAATACATTGATCATACACACCATATAACATATGAAATTGAATATTGTTATTTTATCTCTAATCATTTAATTTTTTTATTAATTCCTATTATTTTCTTGTAATTTATTTTAAATTAAAAATTCTAATTAAATCATCAATTATACTCTAATTTATTCAATTATCCTTTAATTATATTCATATAGTTTAATGTTATCGAATTTTAACTTAACATTTTCAATTCTTATTTAAATGCACTTAATCATCAAATATTCTCTAAAAATTTTTAGGTTTTTAATACTAAAATATAATTTTTACATAATCAATCTTAAATCATGAAATTTCCAACTCAATTCTACCTAAAATCATATAAAATAAATAATTAAATTAAATATTTTTCTTATCTTGAATATTTAATCACCAAAACTTGAATCCTCTTTCAAATACATTTGACTTCACTTCTTACTCAATTATATTCTCTCTCTCTCTCTCTCTCTCTTTGAAGTATAAGCTTATTAAATAGTTTTTCTAAATGAGGAGAATGACACCCTATAAATAGGCATGGGAAGCCGAAACATTTGGGAATGTTAAGTTCATGAATTAAAAATAATAAAAGACTACTAACTTTCTTCTTTTATGGCCACTCGAGTGGCTTTCTTTCATGACCACTTTTTTCTTTTTTATGGTCACTAACATTCTTCTTTTATGAGCACTTTCTTTTCTTTCATGGCCATTCATTTCTCATTTTTAATTTAACATATGTTTCAAAACTTTTTCTCTCCTTTCATAGCCATTATCATTCCATTTAAAAAACTATTAAAACTTATTATTATTTCATTATCATTATTATTATTTTATCTATTATTATTATTTTAATTCCTAATAGCTTAGGCTAAGATTGTAGGACTCATTCCTATTTATAAAAATACAATCTATAATACCCAAAAATATATTATATCCTAAAACTTCATACATAATCATCACATCCTCTAAACACATGAAAATATTAAATTAAATACATATAAAAATATTAAATTGAATACACAAATAAAACACATTTGCACACACTTGATATATCATTATGCAAATTTTTTGGGTATTACAACATCACCTTGCGACATTTCCTCTATTATTTGCACTCATCCATGGGTGAATACCAATTGTTTATTCATCAATGTTCGAGATAAAATATTTTTTCTTAATGAATAAAAAAAAGATTCCATCAAAGAAATAAAAAATGTTATAAGTACTGTAACTTCCATTGACATTCTAAATCATTAGGTATAATATTTAAACATTTGCTTAACAATTTTTGTCCGACTCAACTCACTCTCTATAAATAATATTCCAATAATATTTCACCACTCGTAGCGTAGCATGGGATGCCAACTAATTTCTCATTATAAGAAAACAAGAAATTGTTAACCTATTGCTAGCTTCATCATTGACCAAAAATTTCTTCGAGAATTTTTATATGAAAAATACAATTAGATGATATATAATATATTAATCACCCTAAACCCCAATTTAAAATAATAATAATAATAATAATAATCAAATTAAAAATAAAAATAAATTTAGAATAAATCCTAAAAAAGTCACGTAGCCGTACTCTAGTTCGATTAAATTTTAGACACACACACAAATACCAAAAAAATCAAGTTCAAAGCCTTTTAAACAAGGCAAATAAAATCTAGGACTCCAAATTCAGGTATTTCCAATTACACCTAAAATTAAGTAACTTAAATATAATAAATCATCCAAATCTTATGTTATTCTCACAATTAATATTATGTGAGCTCTAATCAACAAGATAATCATGCAACATAGAAAATTTGAATGAAAATTAAATCAAGAATTAAAATATTAGGGTTTTAAATATTAAAAAACAAAAATTTGGGAATCAAGCTGGCTGGACAAAAGCACAGAAGAAAAACATAAACCTGGCGCATGGGAGCACGTGTTAAAGAGGCAGAAACTTACTAGCACAAGCGGGGCGCGTCTAACGTGGAAAAGGTTGCGGATCGATGGCGCCTGAATCGTCTTCTAATTTCGGTCATGTCGGTTGGGGAGGCTGACAGGTGATGACGCACACTACTTCTTCTTGCTCCTTTTTTTCTTTGTTTCTGTATTATTATTTTTATTATTTTTTGTTGCTAGGATTTTTTTGTTTGTCTATGTGTTAGTGTGTGTACGTATGCTATGGTAGGAATTAGGATGTATTTATAGTTCCACCTATTTTTTTATTTTTTTAATGGATCTAATGGAGACCGAGGACCCTTATAAATGAGCCTAATTAATTTCGCCAACATTTTCTCAACTAAGGGGGAAATATTTGACCAAAAATGAAACGTATGAGTGAAATATATCGACTTTTTAATCACTACAAATATCAGAGGCAAAATAGGTATTATCCCCTTTTGTTTCGTTCTATCAAAACCAAATGTTGTATTATCTTTCAATGCCTCCAACGAAACGCAATTGGTTCATAATTGTACATTAATCTTGTCTAATGGTTGCAATACTTTTGACATATTCTAGTCAAAGAAACTTACCGACAGAAAAGAGCAATGACTGTATTTTTAAGTTCAAGACTAATGTCTGAGATTGCTGAATTAGGTGATCTATCGATCAACGCATCTATTATTTTCATGTGCATATATTTCCTTCGAAGTTTATCTGCTCTGCAAGTAGCAATGTTTGAAAATGCTAGTGCTAGATAATGGAAATGGATTCTAATGTGTACCCTGAACTCTTCTGATCAATATGACGTCGACGGATAAACCTTCAAGGATCAGATAAGGTTAATCAGAAATCGAATTAGTCAAAGTAAAATGTTTCGGCTAGATAATATAGGACCGAATTATAGAAGTTCACCAAAAAAAAAAAAAGTATGAGTTTTTTATTAACTAAAAACTAGAAAAAGGAAGTACATACACAACTTTCAACTAAGTACGTATATTTACTTTGTTGAAGCTGAAATAAAAGAAAATTTTTTGAGGGATTAATCCAGCTAGAAAATCATCGAAATGTGGGGGGTCCAAATTTCTCTTATAGCTGTAGAGAAATGAATTTTTAATTAAGTCGATGGCTAAAAAGTCAGTAGCGGTCAAGCAGAAATTATTGAATGCTGCTCTATAAATACCCATGTCGTGGTCTCACATGTACAATATCACACAAGTAGCAGACAGAAGTATATTGAAAGAGAGTAGCTGGTGAAGAGCATTAGAAATTAACATGGCATCAGAATGTCAAGGTAATTATGAATAAATTCCTTAGCTCAGAATTGATGTAATTGTTTATGTTGTGTATGTTATGATAAAAAGTTGTGTGCAATATTTGCAGGTAAGAGTTCATGGCCGGAGCTCCTTGGAGCACAAGCAAGAGTTGCTATAGTGACAATTGAGGCCCAGAATCGTTATGTTGACACTCAGGTTGTGTTGGAAGGAACACCTGTGACTAAAGACTTCTCTTGCACTAGGGTTCGTGTTTGGATTGACAGAAACAGGATTGTTACTCGGGTCCCTGTAATTGGTTAAATCTCTCTCGCATGCATAATAATGCATTTATCTTTCTCCCAAAAATAGAATAAACAGTGCCATTTCTCCAATGGTGACTTTTTTTTTTTTTTTTATTGTACTAAATAAGAGAGATGTATGCAATACAATTGTGAATTGTGTAGTCACACAAGACCAGTTTATTGAAAGTTAATTATTTATTTGACTAAATTTTAGCAGTATAGTTTTCTTTTAATTATTTACAATAAGTCTCCCTCACACACACACAAAACAATGATGATCTAAAATTTATATTTACAAATATGAAAATCCAAGGAAAAGCCATCTACGCACATAATAACATTACTTTTAGTACGGATAAAGTGGTTAGTATGGAAGACCTATTGGATTGATTATTTTAAACTAGAATATGGCATAAGACAATATATATATATATATAAACAAATAATATTAGAGATTAGAAATTAAAAGGGATAATGGCTTTGGTAAATATAATCCTCGTAAATTCTTATTTGATATAAAGTTAGATAGTTAAAATTAGGTTTAATTCAAAAACCTTAAAACTTATGGTGGATGGCTTTTTTTCAACTTTATATATTATTCATTATTGGTTTAAATATTTAATATAAAATATGTGCTTTAACACTTTTCTTGACTTACGGGCTATCTTTTGGGTCTATCAATTAGCTTGAGCTCCAAACTTTTTGTTAGACGTTGAGCCTCTTTAAAGTTCTAATATCATATAAAAAAACTATTTCAACCCAAAAGATGAAGTTCGTTAGGCGAGGTTCCAAGAATGGATCATAAAGGTTAAAGTCTTTTGAATAGAATACAATTTTAATTAGCTAACTTTGTATAGTATTAAAGCCTTATTAATTAAATGGTCACGATTTTAAATTTCATCGTTCTCATTTCTCTTCTAATTAATTAAATACAAGGTAATGTGAATCTATGCAACTTTCAAGTCTAAAGGATCTTCATTTAAAAGGATGTATCGGAGAGTCATATAAAAATCATTCTTATAATTTCACCTAATAACGAGTTTAAGTTTTTAGATTGAAATGATTTTTTTACATCGGGGTATATTCTAAATCAATTAATAATAAGAATTTATGAGATTTCGACTTTTATAATTTACAAGTTTCAAGTATTTGTCTTGCTATTTGTTTTTCATCTGAACGTACGGAACTTTATCTGCCAATGTAACACCTCTTAAAATTAAGAAGGAAAAAGGCATTTTAACTATATTAATTCGCAACGCATTCCTATATAATATTGGTCATGTATTCATGGAATCCTGAGTTTATCAACCAGCATGCAGTAGCTTATATTAGTATGATCCTGTGGAGAGAGCGATGTTGGGTCAGGGAAAATCACTTATTCTAAGGTGTTCCTATATATATATATATATATATATATATATAATCCGTTACATGAAATCTCGTTTTGTACCGGAGGTTGAACTTGCCATAATTAATGATCGACTTTCCTCTTTTACAAGTTCTAAGCGACGCTTTAATTAATTATTTCAAGAATAATGTTTATTAATTTGCCCTATCGATTCATCTAGATGTGCAAATTTTGTTGAATATTTACCTGTTCTTCTCAAAGAAACGAAGGTTTGAAAGTGTTATAGTGGACTCCCATGTGTAGCTTGCAAGCTAGCATAAACCATCTTACTCGATAAGATTAACTGGACACATTGAATTAGTCAAAGTAATATGCTTCATTGGCAGATATGGTGGAAGTTTTTTAGAATATTCATCAAAATAACAAAGAAAGGTTTAGAATATACCATATTTTAAGGACTATATATGTGTGTGTGTGTTTTCCTTTATTATTGTTAGGAAGACTATTTATGTATAGTTGAAATTACAGAAAATTAAACAGAGGACAAAAGTGGGAGATTACTTCTCATCTTGAAAATCGTGGAAATGTTGAAGTCCAATTTTAAGGCAATGGCTAAAATATCCGCAATGGTCAAGCATGCGAACAAGCCATTAATGCCGCTCAACTAGAAAACTTTGTGCCTGTGTTCAAATTGCTAGCTGTTACAAGATTCACTTCATTCTATTCTTACTGACTCTATACAGGAGTGAGAGGTTTTTCAAGCTTATCATTGGGGCCCCGGTCCGCTAAAATGCTCTAAAACTCACACAATTAGGATAATGAAATTAAGGCATGCCTAGCTATGTGAATGTGTTTGATATAATCAAATAACGGTGTTGACTATTTTATTATGGAGGTCACATGAAAACTCAGTTCTGTGTATTTAATTACTTGTTTTGCAAGTATCGTCGTTTGAAATTATGTAATGGATTCCAATGTGAATTGAGAAGCATATACCATTTGGACGATAAGGTTATTAAATACCTAAAGTCCTCAACACTGATCGTATTGGTCAAAGCAATAAAACGTTTCGTAAGAAATTATATGATATATCAGTGGAAGTTTAGGATTGTTGATCTACCAAAACTGAAAAGAGAAGTATATATATCCACAATCATAGACAGGTGGCATCACTTTTGGCATTGGGTGATTTAAGTTTCTCATGCCATAGCCTAAGGCATCCACTTTGATGGCTGAAGAGGGATATAACCATCAACTGATCAATCTCTTAATTTGACTAGATATAACATGTTGAAACTGAAAATAAAAAATACGGGGGAAAAAATCACCTAGAAAATCGTTGAGAATATGGGAAGCCCAATTTCTCTTCTAGCTGTATAGGATTGAATTTTAAAGCAACACAATGGCTAAAAAAATCAGTAACGGTCAAGCCAAGCTGTGGAATGCAGCACTATAAATACCTATTAGTACCTCAAATAAATCACAACACAGCACAGCATCAGAAAGAGAGATTGCAAGAGAGTAAAGAGCACTAGAACAGTACTACAATGGCATCAGAGTGTCGAGGTAATGATGAATAAATTTTATAGCTTAGAGTTAATAGCAGCTGTACGTATGTGTGGTGTTTTTTAATACAAATATTGGTGACTTAAAATTTTGCAGGTAAGAGTTCATGGCCAGAGCTCCTGGGAGCACAAGCAAGGGTTGCAATAGCAACAATTGAGACGCAGAATCCATATGTTGACACTCAGGTAGTGTTGGAAGGATCAGTTGTGACTGGAGAGTTCTCTTGCACTAGGGTTCGTGTTTGGATTGATAGGAACAGAATTGTTACTCGGGTTCCTATAATTGGTTAAAGGCTCATACTGCATGTGTTGAAAATTATGAAATAAGGAGTTTCTATTATTCTCCCTTGGTGTTTGTTTTGTGCTAAATAAGAGATCATGTTCTCCATGCATTTTTCTGTAATTGTGTTACAAGTTCAATAAGACTGGCTTAATGTTGTTATGTATGTGTTCTCTCTCTCTCTCCCCAAATCAACAAGAACAACACATGAGATTAGTGTCATTAATTAATCACCATGCTTTTATGCTCTATTCGGTAGAACTGCATGCAATCCAAACGTATAAATTTCTTCCCTGGAAAACGAAATCAGCTTGGTTAATTTGGAGTTATATACTTTCTTTCAAAAATGTTTTAATTGACAATCTTGTATATTAATTGCATGGGAATTCAAACAAGTGCGTGTATCCAGGTTTTTCTTGTATTTTTTCAAAGAAATACTCCTTTTTTACCTTCTACAATTTAAGAAAATTATCAGTACTCCATCTATCCCAAAGAAGTAGTTTGTCTTTCTATTTATATCTATCTTAAAATAATTTTCTCGTCAAATTTTTTAATATTATATTTTCTTAAAATATTCTTATTTGATAGAGAAAATATATTATTTTTTCCATTTTTTGTTTTTAACTAACAAAAAATCAACATTCTTTATATTTTCTTCTTATAAATACAAATATATTTAATATAAAAATTTTAAAGAAAATATTTTTGTTACATGAAAATTATTCATTCTTCTAAAAAAAAATCTATAGAAGCTTGCAAAATATTAAGATATCATTCAAGACAAATTGGATGTTGCCCTACACGCTCCAATTTTTGTTTGCTCGAATGAAAAATTTTATATCATTCTCTCCAAATTTTAATTTGCTGTCTTCATTTGTTACTTAAAAATAAAATCTTGTTGGGACTTCCGAAATTTTGGGAGTATTTTGTATTGTAAATTAAATTGGATAGATTTTCTCCTTAAAAGAAGAAGAAGAAGAAGATATTTTAGGAAAGTATTGTTAAAAAAAAACTAATATGACATTATATTTAATATTTTTTTAAACTATGTAAAAAGTCAATATTTTTTTAAACTATGTAAAGAGTCAAAAGGGACTATATATCATTTTGGGATAGAAGAAGTAATTGTTATGTCATATCAATGATTTTTGTTCATAATTTTCAAAAATATCCTCTTTAATAATGCATTTCATCGAACCATAATTAATTGAAGGCAAAAATTTATCCAAAATTAAGATGATAAATTAAAGAAAAAATTATTAAGTTAATTAACAATTAATTTTAAATATAATTATGAAAAATAACATACTAATGGTAATATTTAACTCCTAAATTTTTTTTAGTATGCATTAAAATCTCTAAAAGAATGAATATTTTTCATTTCATAAAACAAAATTCTATGAAATTTTTATATTAAAAGTATTTGTATGTGTAAGAATAAAGTATAAGAATATTGATTTTTTGTTAGTAAATAACAGAAAATATAAGAAATAATTGATTTTCTTTATCAATAGAAGTATTTTAGAAAAAATATATTATTTAAAGTTTTAACGGAAAAATATTTTGAGATATATATATATATAGGATAATCTCTTTGAAACCTAGTGAGTAGTATAATTATTTTATTTGCTCTCTTAGTCAATGAAAAACAAAATTTTAATCAAAATAATCTTAGCTGCCATATAATCTGTAACATGACGGCTATATAATAGTTGAATAATGCGATATCTTCAACCACACAAAGTATGTTGGAGGTCAAGTTTTATTACTGTAATTTGCAAAAAAAATGCATATATTAATTAAATTAGTCAAAGATTTGTGAAATATAAAAAGTCAAATGATTGAATATTTTCCTTTTCCTGCAAAAGACCACAACATATACCTGGCGATCCTCATCCAAGTAAATGCTGACACACGAGCAGCTCACATGGAACCACATACAAAAATACTGCATAGGTTAACAGGTGATTAGCATCAAGTCCTCTGATATCGGTTTAATTAAGCCAGTATGTCACACTATATCATTAAAAACATATATTATAATATGAAAGAAAAAAAAGAAGCAAATCACAATATTGATAAAAATTTTGGTTCAAGTTATTTATATTTATTTGATGAGTATAAGCTCTCAGAGTTAAAAAAAAATATGAAATTTGAAAACCTTTCTGGCTTTTTGAAGGTCATGCTCGATTTAACTTCAAAAAAAAAAAAAAAAAAAAAAACTTATACAATATGATAATCCAATTCGATTCACTTCAATTGCAACTCTGATCCAATAATGCAAATGCTAGAACAATACGCAAGGGTGGTCTTTAAAAGGGAAGATTGGAACTAATTGGCTAACAAAACAGAAAACTGAATGGGATGCTCTTGGCATGTGTTCAAATAGCTATCATAAGGTTCTCACTTGTATTCTATGCGTGCTGCGAAAACATTTCTTTAAAGTTTATCATAGGGACAATCAGCTAACATGGAAACGCTCCAGAATCACAAAATTAAGATGACCAAAGCCATGCCAAATGCTAATTTCTTTGATACATTCAACACCAGTTGATTTGCTGCAAAAGGTTTCACAAAATAAGGAAAGAAAAGTTTGCAGGTGCTCAGCAAAATATTAGCTCTACACACAACTTTACTGATGGTTTACACATAACAAACCACAGGTTCAAGAAATCTCCAACGACGGCAAAAACTACTATATGATTTACTTAGTCCATCAGCATCCTCCACCTAGCTACATCAAGGGCCAAAAGCACCTCCAGCTTCGAGACAAAACAAGGCCACCGTATATACGTCAGAGGAATAAGTGCTGATATTCCCCATTTGCAAGTTGACAAAGCTGATTGTAGGAATATGTATCTGTCAACATAATGAATAGAGTTTTAGAAGCACAAAAGGTTGATGGAATGGCTAAACTAATAATGTTTGGAACTTAGTTTATTCAACTGGCCAAGACATCATGCTATTCCCGCTATTTCTAATCAAAACTTGCACATGCACAGAGGGGGAATAGAGAGATGCACGCACTCAAATACTGATTCCAGAACATATGCTAACAAGCACTAAAAAAAAAAACGAGGGAAAAAAAATCAGCATACACCTACTTACAGAGAGTGTCATATGTAACACTCAAGCCAGGATTTAGTTATGAGATATGAATAACAATAGAAAATGCACCAATTTTCTTTCAGAAGCAGCGGTTGGATGCTTGTCGTTAATTAACATTCTAGCTACTTACAAAAAGCACTCGCCATAATAGAACTTCAAGCTGCCAAAAGATCTCTAATGAAAGATCTCATAGGAATAAGTGCTGATAAAAAAGAACCCCTAAAACAACCTAATACAGGACACACCAATCTGCTGGCTCTGTCAAAGTAATTCTATGATCAATCTGAAATCTAGTAGTATATAAAAATATTCCATCCAGTGAAACCATACTCAGGAGTCATGGGCCACTAGAACGACATTCCTATACAATGCACATCATACAAATTTAAGTATATTAAATATGTTCACTTGGGCATTTTTAATGATTCAAGAAATATCTATAAGCAGAAGACAAAATAGTCCGTGTCTGCTCAATTACCCACTCAATCCTCTCAAGTAGAAGCAAAAAAAGCCAAAGCAATTGAAGAAATTTAACACAAAAGCAATATGCCATACCAAATGCATCCCCGAAGTTGGTCCATGTCTCAGCCTGGATTGATTTTTCACTGTCAGCAATACCAATAACCTCAACAAAATTGGTAAGAGGAGCAGATGGTGGAGAGCCTTTTACAACAAGCTGGAGGTCATCCGGGGATTTTCCAACTACAGCTCCACGATCAGATCCCATAACTTGAATCACAGTCCGGACCCTCTTTCGAACATGCATTGGCAACAGTGCCCCATTGACAAAAATCGCAGGTTTTGAAGTATCCATACCCTATGAAAAAAAAATTAAAGACCAAAAACAGAACATTATTATAGCCAAATAAAAACATCAAATACTCATTTTCTTCTAAACGTGAGATTATATTTCATTGAAAATAGGATTAAAACTGCTATTAAATTCTCTATTAAAATCAAAATCTCTAAATTGCCCAAACAATGCTATTAAAATCCAAATTCTAAATTGCCCAAACAATACTAATGCATCTTAATCGAGATAATCGCATTAATAACTCATATCAAGACTTGAATTAATCGATTATATCAATAAATAAATAAAAAACGATGCAAATAAGCTAAGATCAAACTAATCATTTTATTTCACGCATTATAACAAATGGATTTATCGACATGGAAATAAATATTAAATAAAAAGAGTAAAGCCAAATAGCTAGGGCTTACTCTAGCGTAGAGAGAAATTGAGGGTGTGTTTGGTTACAGAGAAACCTGGGGAGGGAAAATTGAAGTGAAATTATCAGTTATGTTAGCTACTTTCATGCGTTTTCTCGGAAACCAAACTGAGAGTAAAGAGAAATTTAGGGTTGGAGTCGTACCTGATATTCTGAAATGGGAGACAAAGACGCAGGACAGAGAAAATGAGGGAGCGCGGGGTTTTTTGTTTGTTTTAGTTTTCAGATGGCGCTAAAAGTTTGTGTGACCTAAAGGGTATATCGGTCATCAGCCACCCTAGCTAATTATCATATGATTCGTCATCAATTTATTTTTTTATTTTTAGAGATGCTATGATTCGTAATTAAATTAGTAAATTATACCTTATTCTCCCTTTTTTTATTTTTTTTAGAGATGCATGCTTTCAAAAAATTTAGATTTTGGTTTTTCAATTAAAATATCATCCTTAACAGAATTTGGTAACAATTCAAATGGTTTAACAAATGAAACCTATATTCAATTTCAAAGGGTAACAAAAACAAATTCATTACTCTTTCTCTATTTGTTTTCCACAACAACAAATTTTGCATAGAGTATTTAGACAAATTCAATTTTTTTTGCTAAAACAAACATTCATCATGCTTCAATAATTTAACAAATTCAGACTCTTTTACAAATAATGTTCTCATAACAAAATTGATATTCAAACTTACATATTTCTTAAGTATTTTTGAATCCCAATGACTTAAAACCAAATGCAAAAATTAAATCATACCTTTTTGACGATGTACTAACCAACTCGATTTTCTTACCCGGCTCGGATTCATGGTCATTCGGCCATGCCTCTTTGATGTCCATCTTTTGAAAAGAAACATAATCTTTTAACTTCACTCTCTCTTATAAAATAACTCTGTATTTTTCTCTCTTTTTCTTTTTTCTTAATCTTAGCCACACTTAGGTTTCTCTCATTTTCTTCTCTCAATTTCATTTAGTCCTCGTGAATTTGTTTTGGTGACAAAGAAACAAGTTATATATTTTTACCCTCAATTACAAAAGAGTACTTATTCCTAAACTCATTATGTTTAACTTTCATATCGAATTGCCATAATCAACTTAACAAAACATGACCACCATGCATAGAAACAATGTCACACAAAATCTCATCTTTATACCTACCTATCGAAAACGACACTAACGCCTATTTATTTACTTTGATTTCCCCATAGTCATTTAACCATTGTAATTTATATGGTCGGGGATGGTTAACAACATGCAATTTCAATTTTTTAACAAGTACAATACTAACGACATTTGCACAATTACCCTCATCGATTATTAAACTACAAACTTTGTCATCGATGTGATAGCGGTTATGAAATATGTTCTATCTTTGTATCTCTTCCTCTTCCTTAATTGGCTTGCTTAAGGCGCACATGACAACTAATGACTTACCTATTAGGTATTCCTCATCTTCACTCTCATTTTAGACTTATTCTTAACTTCGGGACTCACCCCGTAATTCTGTTTTTCTATTTTCTCTCAACTCCATTTCCCTCCTATATGGACACTCGAAGCAATACGATCTCTACCTATGCATTTAAAACATCGAATATCTCTATCCCTAGTTGATTGAGATTCAGAATTTTACCTCTTTCTCGATTGGGAAGCACCTTTTTGCTTCTGGATGATTCGACATTAGGCTTGAAATCAATTGTCTCCTCTTTTCCGCTCCATTTTGGTCTCCATAGACATGCAGAACCTGAAGATTGACTTGGCCATGAAAGGCCTCTCCTTTTGATCAACCTCTCCAAAAAACTGAATATTAGTCTGAAATTCAAAGCCAAATGGAATTACTGCACTTAGCTACTGTCTTGTTTAGACAATTCTGGCTTGATTTATTTTTTAACTCACGGTCTGATTTTTTTTTTTTTTTTTTTTTTAACTCCCGGCCTGATTTTCTTCTTTTCTTCTTTTTTAATAATGTCCGCAACTGGACAGATTCGACAGTAGCTAGAAAAAAATGCAATTCTTTTTGGAAGCTAGGAATGTATGTGCAGTGGCTTTTGTGACAAATTTAGAAATTTAGGAAAATGCGCCAATGGCCATTCATATATGTATCCGGCAATAGCTTTAGGACTTGACTAGATAAAAAAAAAGATTTGGCAACAATGGATAACAAACAAGACAATCTGGATGGTATTGAATTATAGAGTTTTTTTTTTTTTAATATGATATTGACATAATTTTTGGACTAAATGAAACTACAAGGATTTGAATTTTTTCTTTTTTAAAAAATCTGATTAGAGCCAATGCTCTAATACCAACTAACACAAACCCGCCTAACTTGACGGTTAAAGAACACAAACAAATTAATTTACGAAAAGTCAAATTAGATCCAGAAGGATATGAATGCTACATTTTAGATAGGTTGAAGAGAAGTGATAAGTCACTTAAACGTCACAAGAATATGGTTAATTCTTGATAAGTTCGAAATCGATTATCGGAAGAAATGAGGAGAGAATTTCTTACAAATAAATTTGATTGAATAATAATTGAAGAATTCTTAGTTTGAAGTTTTTACAAAATATAAGTAATGATGATGCTGGAATCTGAAACAATCAAGAATAAATGACCAATATTGGATCCAATAAAAATATTGAACAAAAGAATTAATTGTCTCCTTGAAGATGACAATGAGCTTGGAATTCAGTAAGGAATTAATTGTCTCCTTTGAATGAAGAACCAGCCATGAAGGTGCTAGATTAATTCGATCAAACTGCAAGAATGACCGAAAAAAATAAAGCATTGCACTATGATTTGATTATTTTATTTGGTAGTTGTTGGATGCAATTTGCAGCTGCACAGCCCAAAGTGCTAAGACTTGGTCTCAGTCCAAACAGCAACAACATCTCACGGCCCAACAAACAGCAACTCCTTAGGCCCAATTGACGAAGAAAGCTCTTCAGCCCATATAGCAGCAATCTTAGCCTAATTGAAGTTTGGACTTCAATTCTGGAAATAAATGGCAAGCCCGGCCCTTTAATTTGGATACAAATCACCAAGTCCATTGGAAAGTCTTCGAACCCATGGCAGCTCCTAGAATCATACCAGAAGTTGTAATGCATTTTATAATTTTTGCATGATATTAATCTAGTAGAAGTGTTACTAATTACATTTTATAATAAATTCAAGTATTATTGATGATATTAAAACATTAGAGATGTTATTATTTATTAATATGTTTAATTAATAAAATTGTTAAAACTAAGCTTACTAACGCAAAACACAATAAGCCTAATCATTGCTGAAAGAGTCAGAAGTTAATAACTTGGCTTGCTTTAAACTCCCCTGTGATCCGCAGAAAATCGGATCAAAAAAAGATATGATTACTGGCAGTTTCATCAAATGCGGACCTCGTAGTATCATCAACTGGAGCCAATTCTACTACATTAATTAAAACAAATAGCGTGCTTCAAGCTATTTCGATTTAGAAATCCACGGTCAAAGAAAGGGATCAGAGATTTCATGGTTACCCAAGAAAAGAAACAAAAACTTCCCTTCTTCTGCTCCAACTGCTAAATGACATCAAGTTTAATCTTTTGTACTATCCACATTGTTAGGTCAAGTTCACACAAAAAAAAAAAAGAAAGAAAGAAGAAAAAAACACCTCCAAATTTCTCCACAGTCCACGTTTCCCATGAAAAAACCTACTTAAAACTGTTCATTAAGGTCCGGGTTTCTTTTAATTTTGCAAAGATTCTCACTTCATTTTTTTCTTTTGTGTGTGTGTGACACATTTGATTCTCTTAGAAAAATGGCATTTGGGTCTCAACTAGCTGTTGAGTTTGAAGAAGGAGAGAATTTCAACATTCGAATCTTAAGGGAAAAGATTTCGGCTTTCATGTCTAAACACTTCACTGAAGTGGAAGAGCTTTTGGTTTCCACGGTAGAAAACTTGGAGCATGAGGTTAAGTCGTTCAAACTATAGGAGTTGATTGAAGAGAGAGCTCAAATTCAGAGATTAGAGAAATTGAAAGCTGAAAGTGAACTTAGGGAGTGTGGAAGAGAGTGTTTGCAGTTAAAGAAAGAGCGAGATGGGTTCAATGAGACTGTGAAAAGTATTTCAGAAGATAAAAGGATAATGAGAGAGCTGAAAAAGGGAAATTGTGATTTGAAGGGTGAAAAGTTGAAGGCAGAAACTGAAATTGATTTCTACGAGCGAAAGTTTGAGGATTTGGAGATGGTGTTGATTCTTTTTTTTTTAAAATGACATGTTGAAGTCTGACGGGCCTACAAGTAACTTTGGGGTTCCTGGTGAGGTTGTGGGAGAAAAGGGTGCTGTAAAAGAGAGTCAAGCGTAGAGAAAAGGCCGTTAATGTGAACACTAGGAGGTTGCTACTGATTGTAATGATAATGTTGTTATTGAGGCAAATGGGGTTCCAAGTTGCCATTCACGAAAGAATGGAAATGGCGATGTGGGTGCTACGGGTTTCTGGTGTGCTGGGGGTTTCATGTGAGGGTTTGGGAGAGAAGGGTGTGAGTGAAAATGAAAAGGGCAGTGGAGAGATTGGTAATTTGAAAGCTAAAATGGGTGTTGTTGATAGCCATGGGAACATGGCTTTGGGAGCAAATGAAGGTTCTTGTAGCAATTCGCTGGAGAAAGGAGATGGAAACGTGGGAGATGCTTCAGGTATGGCTAGATCCTTGTGTGTTTATATATATATACTGATTAGTGTTTATTGTATTTGATACTAATCTTTTGTTTAGAGAACTTTGATGACAGGTAGAAATCTGTGTAATGTTTGTCATATGAGAGAGACCATTTCTTATTTTTCCCAATATGTGATTTTGGAACACCATCTTGAAATTTGTCTGCTGCTTCTGCTGGAACATCTCTAAACATAGCCAGATATTGATTGTCTGGTTTGTCCATGCCAGGTGGAGGGACACCTCAATTAAAAGAAATCTTAGAGATCGGGGACAGTGATGATGACTCCTCTTTATGTGCAATTTTGAGTAGAAAAGCATTGGCCATGAAAGGATGTCGGGATGAAGCAGATTTAGATCAGGAAGAGCATCTTCCTCAAATTCGAATGACGGCGATGGTGGTAGCAATGAGCCTAAGGCGACAAAACGCAAAGGGTTGATTGAAGGCCCTGATAGTCACCCTGTCTATCATTACTCGGCAACGACCATGTCTTCCGGAAGTAATAATGAGGGTTGAAATGTTTTTACTCGATAAGGCGGGGTCCATCGTCAACACAACTTGAGGAGAAAATCGCAGCTGAACCTTATTCCCAAAATCAGAGGAATAAGGTTGGTTGTCTTGGATTGGTTTCTTCTTGATTCTGACAGTGAGTAAAGTTCCAGCTCCTCTGATTTGGACTTTTCATTGGACTTTGCCATGACAAACTCTAGCGAGGAAAGGAGAAACAGGAGTTGAATAGCAATTATCAAGTAGAAAGCTAAGATTATGGAACAATTATATATGCAACAAGATTATGGAATAGTAACAGCGAAGTATAGAATGTTGACGTTTTGAGCATTAGTAATCATGATGATCATCGGCATTGTGACAATTCTTGTAGCAACTTGTTCGCTGTGATTTGGTAGCCAAATAAAGAAGAAAAAAGCTTGTGTGCTCGCTTCCATTCCTCCATGGACATACATGTGCATGATGGGATCTTTAAGGTAATTGCTGTGAATCTGAGTGCTGTACTGAAAATAAAGTGCTGAATTCAATCACAGTAACTGCTGCAACGTGGGATAATCGAGGCAGCTCCAGATATGGTTTCAGCAGCATCCTGTTATGAATGCACATTGATCTGCCCAACTTATGCAATGACTTCAAATCACAAGCCCAGTTGATGCCAGGGAGCTGTGGTGGCTTCCCAGGAGAGATGGAGTCAGCTCCTCAAGTTTGCCATCATCTAAAAGGAATACTCGTTTAGCCATTAAAACTGTTTCCAACCGGTGGGCAATGACAAGCACCTATCACCATGTAAAGTTGCAGTTCAGTACATGATCAAGCCATCAGGGAAAATAAACACACACACATTTCAATACAGAGAGCATTACTCATAAATGAGCCTCTCACGCAGATGGTAATTGTGACTTTCTGTCCATCCTTTTACCAGCGATATCCCCTAATTCAGACTAATGAATGGCTCCGAGTGCAGCAACCACTTGGATTATCATCAGCAAATAAACAATTTAATGTCCCTATTAAGGTGAATTTTATGGCTTCATGTTGAATAGCGAGACTAGTTTAAATTTGAATTGAAATGTTATGGCCAAAAGAGGCAGATATTGGTTGCATTTCGTTGGAACCATCAAGCTCCATGAAAAGACATCGCAGAATGATTATAGACTTCTCATCTGCAATAAACAGTATCTCTAACAGGTGTTGTTGGTTAAGTGTTGTGACCATATTGTATATATGGGCGTGGACAGGTTACTTCAGCCGTACTGGCACAGAGCTTGATTTAAAATAACCATTGCTCAAGCTAGGTTCTCCTCACCATACCTATACCTCAAAAAATAAAATATATTAAGAAAACACATGTCAGCTGATAGAATGAGCAGTTGTCCTTACAGTATGATTTGCCATTAAACGCTCCACAGCTTGTCTCACCAGTAATTCAGACCTGCTATCTAGAGCAGAAGTTGCTTCATCCAAAATCAGTATAGATGAATCCTGGTAAAGCGCTCTTGCAATAGCTAGTCTGCACATTCAAGGCAGGAGAAGGGTTAAGAGTCCTACACTCTCAGCTAGATATTTTAGTCAACCAAGAATTCTCCCTCAAAAAAAAAAACCAAAAATTGAATTACAAGTTTAGATGGAAGATTTCACCTTTGCTTCTGACCTCCACTTAAACTTGAGCCCCTTGGCCCAACATTTGTTTGGTAACCTTTGGGAAGCTTTCTAATAAATTCATCAGCATTTGCTGTTTGTGCTGCCAACTCAACCTTCTCCATGTCTATTTTTGTCATTATATCTCTATATCCAATGTTTTCAGCAACTGTTCCTGAAAAAAGAGTCTGGTGCATATACAAAAGGCTGGATCAAGAACCATCTGGAGTTTTCTCCATGTATTATGATGTGCATATAATAACTGCATTATGGCCAACATTTTACTTGCCAACCATCAAGAGATACTGTTGGATAATTATACACAATAATTAACAAGGTAAACTTCAAACTTCTAAGTTTTAGATAGCAGGGTGACAACAATGAAGAAAATCAGTAAACCATTTATCTGATTGATAATGAATGGAGAGTTTTACCATGGAAATTAAGTTGAAGTTTTCCATTTTCTTGCACAAAAGGTAAATAAGAATTAATAAAAAATGATGTGGATAAATGGAAACTAAATCAAGAGGCTCCTGCTTGAAAAAACACCCAGCTCAAATAATTTGATATTATGAATGAGATTTTAGGGAGCTGAATAAAAGGCCTGACACTATCCTCCCCTTCTTTTCCTTTGTCCTTTCTTTTTCTTAGGAGAGAGTTCGAAAACAGAAATCAAACATAAAGGGGAGTTCAAAGTCATACTATATCCTGAGAAACCAGACCAACATGCCTCCTCAAGCTTTCCAATTGGACGTCTTGGATATTTTGGTTATCAACAAGTATGCAACCTGTTAACATGGCAAGATCAGATGAGCAGACGCTTTTAAAAGGAACAAAGAGTTTTGAAGTCCAAATATTTTTGAATGTAAACTGGGCACATTTGCAAGGAACACGCAAAAATTGTTTATTTAGATGGCTCACCATTTAAAGGATCATAGAGACGGAGAAGCATTTTGATTAGGGTGGTCTTTCCTCCTCCAGATGGCCCAACAAGAGCTACTATCTCTCCAGCTTTGATATGAAGGTTCAATCCGTCTAATACAAGAGGGCTATTTTCCCCATATCTAAATGAGATATCACAAAATTTGACATCTCCCGAGACACGGTCCAAATCGACAGCATCTGGTTTTTCAGTCACCTATATTCAAGGATGATTAATTTGCAACTGCAAGATGATAAATCTAACAGACAAGTATTCAGGGGGCTGAGCCAGGATTCTTTTCTTGGAGTGACCAGTATTAATACAGGAAAGAACAATCACTTCTTATTATCTTGGCATAAGTTCAATATTTAAGACAATAAGTGATCTATAATTGCAAATTCCAGAAAAAAATATGCCATAGCCAGAAGAACCATCCCCACTGGATAGGACATGCAACCCAACTAGAGTGTACGTAAGTGTATGCTAGCAACTTCCACAGATATAAATATAATTTTCTCTTTTTATATTGTGCTTCCTGCTCTTTCATTGAGTGGAAAATCATTTGCTGCCATTCAATCAGAGATTTATTAATAATTGCTAGATGACTAAAAATATCTCTCTAGGTATAGGATACCACAGCTTATTATGTCCAAAAGCAACTCATTTGCAGATAAAAGAAGCTTACTTGGGAGGAAGTTTGTCCTGCAGAATCTAAAAGGCATAATATATATGAATTTTGACAATAAGTACAGCTCCAGAAAGCTCTAAGTTACCTTAGATTTAAATCTGGTCAAATCAAACAAGCGTTCAATAGCTGGTTCTCCCTGCTTCCACTCATTGTATGCTTTTCCAACATCCTGTATGATACTTTAGATTTGTTACTTAAACCAGATCTTGAATGGCTGGAACATGATAAATATAACAAAAGGCACTGACTATGTCTTTTACAACAAACAACTTTCATAGCATGCAACAACTACTTTTTTTTTATAGGTAATTATGGTTGTTCACACTGGGGCCTCAGTCCAGGACACCTCCAGGATGCTGTGTGCATTTCCGGGTGATAAAATTCATAAGGGTAGATCAAAGGAAATATCATATGAGGGAGGGATGGGGAAGCAACGACAAAGCGAGGGAAGATGCTAGTAAAATCCCTCGTTTTCCCATAAAATCCAAAGAATGTGATTAGATGCTGTTACCTGGATTGGCTCAACCACAAAAATCAATGATGTTATAAAAGAAACCATGCTACAACCATCAAAACAACCACTTGAAACCACCATTGATCCAACGCAAAGGATAGACAATGCTCCAAAGTAAATAATTTGTACAATTTGAGGGATAAACGCCTTCATTTTCCTTTTTGTAAGAAGTGCAGATAGGTCAGCATTAGCCAGCCTTTCAAACCTTGCACTCTCACAAAACTCTGCATTGTTTGCTTTCACAAAAAGAATTGCTGGGAGAACCTAATAGATAGAAAATAGATAAATATATCATTTAATGACAAACATCAGGGTAAGGGCTAACACCAAAACAAGTGCATAATTATAACTCATAAACAGACATCAAGTGCAAGCCTGTATTGGGATTTGGGATTACCACTTATGTAAAAGGAGGCATTAATAAGTAATAAACATAAGCAAAGGGTATGAGAAATCAAAACTACGTCATACATTGCAACATAAAGAAATTTTGGGTATCATAAAAATTTCTAAACTTTACCTCGTTAAGGTAGGCTGAAAGAGCTGAAATACTAAGCTGTGCCTTCTTAGATATCTTTCGAAGCCTGGTTCCAAGGTATGCAATAGCAAGAGCTGTGCAAGGAATCACCTGTAACGTAGGAGAAAATATTCCAGACCCTAAATGAAGAAGAATAATCTGAGCATAATCACATTTGTTGAGGCTGCTTTATCCCTTACCATAGCTGAGATCAAGGAAAGGACAGGGCTAATAACCAACATCCGTGAGGCCATTGCTGATAACTGCAGAGCACTGGGCACAATGGTCTGTGATGCAAATTAAACTTATCATCAAGAATCAAAGTCAAAATGAGTAACTTAGTGCAAGCTTTATACCAAATCATAGAAACTCAAAGCAAGATACATAAAGATGCAAAATCACAACACGTTCGTCCACAATACACACATGCACATAAACACACCATCGTCCACAAAACAAGAGGTTACATCGGCTCAATAAAGATAAGCGCGTGATTAGCCATTGCCAACATGACCTCAATCTAGCCACTCATAGACAACCCTTCCTTCCCTAACCAGTTATCCGTTGCTAATGTGCACAAAATTAAGTCCAATTAAAAGTCATCATTAAAGACTAAAATTATAAATCCGTCTATGATTGTCAATCAAAACCACATTAAATCAATTAACTTTCATTTGAAAAAAAAAAAAAAACACTTTTGCTTTAGTAGATACTTAAACAATTAACTCCCTGCATTTGTTCACACAAAAATAAACAACTTACTCACATTGAGAAGCGCATAGAGACTATCAGCAACATCAGCAGCCTCAGCAGTGATCCTATACGCTATATCCCCAGAAGAAACAGCACCTCCTCCTTCAAAAAACCCCAATTCTCTCTCCAAAACCTTCTCAAAAACAAAAAGTCTAATCTTATAACTAGCATTCAATGCAGCCTCCCACAAAAACGCATGCTGGCCATAAGTAGCAATCAACTTAGCCAAGAAGAAACCAGCCAGCACCAAACCGTCATTTCTTAGCGTAACCCCATCAATTTTTCCAATATTACAAGAGAATTGACCAAATTTAGGCACGAGTTGGGATAAAGAAAGGACAGAAATTAGACTGCAAAACCAGCCAAGTAGGATTGGCTTGCACTGAGAAACAATAAAGGGTTTTATAGTAGAGAGAGCATCAAATGGTTCGTTAGTGTTCTCTTGCTTCAGTTGTTTTTTTGGGGCTATTTGATGTTTTTGTTGTTTTTGTGGGGTTATAGAAGAAAGGAGAGAAAAGGTGGAATTAAGGGGTTTAAGGAGGGTTTTTAAACGGAATTTGAAAGCGGGGTTTGTTAGTTTTAAGGGTTTTGAAGGGAAGGGGATTTGCCTTTGGGATTGCAGATTGTTGAAGTGGAGAGGAGGGAATGAAGAAGAAGAGAAAAGAGAGGGTGTCAGTTGAAATTGAAGAGGGGACATTCTCTGTCTCTCTCGCTCTCTCTCTTAATCTTTTGCTTCACATGCTTTAGAAGGAAAAGAGAGTTTTTTTAATAATAATTGATTAAGAGGTATGAAATAAATTGTTAAGAAGGTTGATCAAAGAAGGCAAGCAGGCAGGTCGTTGGTGACAAATAGGATACGTAATACGTTGTTGTTTTGGTTACGCCAACAAGGAGGAAGGGTTTAAGGCTTTCAGCATATTCTTTATTATTCTTTTTTTTGGGTTTGATGAATAAATAAATATCTCTGCAAGCATATTTTTAATTTATATACACCCCTTAAAAGTTGAATGTTTTACTTTTTACTACGCATTTTTTTGATTCTGATTTTTACTTTGAAAAAGAAAAATAGATGTGTGCATAAATGAAAATTGACAACATACTCTTCGTAGATAAAGGAAAATTTTTATTTGAAATTAAATCTACTTTGACGATATTTTTTTAATTAATGAAAGTATCTTATTTTTTGGTTGTGAAACTCTAATCCTTTATTTAAAAATAATAATTGTAATCTTATTTTTATTGATAAACAAAAGGCTTTTTTTAAAAAAACATACTTATATATCTTCATATAACACTCAAAATTTTCTATATATCTCTATGTTTTTAACTGATTTCTATTTGTCTTTGATCTTAAAATACTTTAAATTTTTAATCTGTCTTTTCAATCAATTTGTTTTTATAATATAATTTTTTTTTAATCGAAATACTCCCAATTAAAATGAAAAAAATAAATTCTGAAGACATGAAAAATAAAATTTTTTAATTAATAATTAAACAATAATAACAAGTTGGGGGGAGAAGGAAAAAAACAACATAGTCATTTAATCTTCTCCGTTAATCGTCATATCATAATTAGACAAAAAATTAGACGGAAAAATTTGATTGGTATTTTTGAAAAAATTAATATATTGAAATGGAAAAAATAAAAATTGATATACTTAATTTAAAAAAGTTTAAAAATTAATATACCTAATTGAATCTCAATAAATTTGGTATCAATTTTGAGGCGTAGAAACTAAATTATTTTGTAATAATATAAGAAACAAGCTATGCTATTGTCTAAGCCAATTCCTCAAGAATGTCATTATTACGAGACGAAATCAAAATGAAAGAGAAAACTATGCTTCTGCTCTTCCTAATTCCAAGCAAATCAAACATAGAGCTAAATAAATAGTTTAACATTTATCTCTTTAATTTGTTGGTTTTCCACAGAACGAAATCAAGATACTAACTAGCTTTTTTTTCCTTCCTGATGTTGGGGAAAATGCTGGTTTTGGTCTTGTATAATCATGTGCTGCATGCAATTAGTATTAAGGTTCTTTCAATGGAAAGGCATTTGGATCGTGTGTGTAAACTATGTTAACAGCCTCAATTCCATTTCTGTGTTGTGCAGTGCAGTAGAAATTAGTAAACAAGCAACTCATCCAACAATAAATAAAGAAGGATTGAGCATTAGCATTGATCTCATCATGGCTGTTGTACTATAAGATTATTCAAGCAGTAGAAATTGCCTCTCAAAAAATTTCAAGCACTTCCTAGTTATTCATAAAATGGCAGTAACTTTAAGACATGAGTTTAACATTGTTTCCTTCAATTATTATTATTATAATATGTAGCACTTCAAAAAGGCAATGTTGGAGTTTACGAGCCCATCCTTCGCTGCTACAAAAGAAAATAGTTCTCTACAAATAATAGAATGCCTTGTGAGCTAAAAAAAAAAAAAAAACGATCAGGAAAAATAATTGAACACTTGCTGTAGTTTATAATACCGTCCGGCTAGTGATATCATTTCTCTCTCAATTTTTTGGTTATGGCAAATGCTGCCCCAGCAACAGCAACAATGATGGCTGAAACTAGGATGGTTGTTTTGAGTTTCTGCATAGCATCCTGCTTTTCCCTTTCCTTTTTTCGTGCAGCCTCTTCTTGTTCCTGAAGGCAATGCAAATATACTTCAAAAGTTTGTTGGAGAAATAGAAAGAAGATATAGGAATTCTTAAATATTCAAGAGAAGTAATGTCCTTGAGATTAAGGATATTTCACTTTTTCATGGTTTTATCTATCCCCAGTGTGATTCTTTGGATTGCCATGAAAAAAAAAAATCATATTTGTGGGCATATCATCAAGATCCCAGTTTTTTTGCATGCATGAACATACGATTTGCAGGTCCCCTTAATCTTATCATCAGATGAGCCATAAAATAACTCAAGATTCGCTTAGCCTTTCTGCAAATGCTGATTTTCAACACCAGTACCTAACAATTTAAGAGTCCATAAAGAAATTCAAATAATAGATGATTAAAAGGAAAAAAAAAAAAAAAGAACAACCACAATTTTGATTGATTTTTATTTTTTCCTCTTGTACTGTGTCTAGATTGTTTGAATTGAGTGCAAAAATACCTGCTGTATCTCCTTTGAGGTGGCGATATCTGATGATACAGGATCAACTTCAAACTCCTTGTTTAGGCTAGGGTTCAATGCTTGATCAACAGCAGCCTCTGGAAATGTTGAAGCTCCTTCTGTTGCCATTTTTCCCCCTCTTAAATCTTTCCTTCAAGGAAGTGTAACCTTTTCTTTCTTTCTTTCGCTTGCCAAGGAAGAAGAGGAAAAAAGAAGGGACCTATAAAACTGAGCTTTTAAATAAATAGTTTGTTTACAAGTGTCATGCCCCTGATGGTCAGATGCTAAAAGATTGCTGCTGTTTTAAGGATCTCAACGACTCTCTTCTTCATTCACAAGAATCACAACTTCCCGGGAAATCTGTCAGATTTAACTAATTATTGGATGTGCATAATGACAAAATTGGCCTTGGAGCTTAGCTTCTTTTGTCATTGTTTGATTACCAATCCTCAGGTAACATCTGTAAGACTGAAAGTAATGCAGAAAGAAGAGAGCACATAAAGCTTGGGAATCATGGAACTGGATACCTTCAACAGACAATTACAAGGCCCTGCTATTGGGCACAAAATAAGCACTGAACACTTGTCATTACAGATTGCAAAACAATTTGTGTACAAGAAATATTACCACAATGACATGATTTTATCTTAGCATTGGTTCCTCGCCAATACATACACATCTGAGTTCTTAAACAGGTTACAGGCATTAGTACATGGTTTTTCGTTACAAGGACTGGTGACACCGTTCTTGTCTTAAAAATTTGCATTCATGAAGATAATGAATTTAACGCTCAATTCTCCAATCTCAAAGAGCTTTGGGCTCCACCTTCATGATGAGTGGAAATATCTGAGAGCTCGTCAAACGACTGAGGCTATGAATCATTGAGTTTAAGTATTTGCTGCTGTGCCTGCCAGCCAGATTAAGCTCCTAGTTACTTGACCCAAAACCACGAGGACTTGGCCTTGATGATACTGAGTCAACAAATCGCCTCCTCGATTCTGATTTTCTCCTCCTCCTTGCAGTACCAGGAGGTGCCTTATCCAGGAGACATCAAAAAAATTGATTAGGATGACTTATCAGAAGGATTTGAGTTAGCTTTATAGTTTCTCTTTGGGTGTCCAAATATTCTTAAGGTCTTCAAACATGGAAATTGCAAAATACATACAATTAGAGGTCTAGGACCATACAAGTTATTGATGTCTCTTACACTTGGTAAGTTGCAGAGAAGTTCTGTAAATCAAACAAAACAAAAGGCACAGAGAAGTTTTCTCCCGAAAAAAAAGTGAGCTTAAAAGGAGCAAGTTCCATTTACCATCATGACAGTATTTTGACATGTCATACAATTATTAAATATCCAAATAAGATACTGTTTAGCTTCTTGTTTGGTTTTGTGAGTCAACTAAATGAATGAGGCAGCAGATCATGCAAGGGGGAGTTTCCTTCCATTCTCCCTAAAAGTCTAAAGATGAGAGAGATCTCTACCTTCTCAAGGGTTAACTTTATTTAATCTGTATTGCCGACATGTTTATTAGGCAATCCTTGAATAGGCCAAAATCACAACCACATGCACCTATGTAGAAATATTCTTCTATCCAAAGCACACTTCCACAATCCACTTAAACTAGTATGCTCTTGTCTAAACAAATTTAGTAGAACATAGGCATAGAGATGATTCACTCATTTATGCGACACGATGAAACAAAGAGTCAATATAAATTGTTGTTCCCCTTAACCAAGTCAGTGTTGAACAAAAAAACTTCTTACTCATGATATTTCTTATTTTCGAAGTTTGACGGCCTTGAAAAAAATTTATGCAATAACAAGGATGTAACAGAAGTGGGTAAAAATAACGGTCAGAACTGAATAGCAGAACTTGTTCATTCTTTTTAGAATTACTGAGAACATTCTGTACAGCCAGCATGCCTCGAAAACCCTTTACCAAGGAATATAATCATGTGGGAATTGAACGGCAAAACAAACATTAAAGCATGCAAAGAAAATATATACATGTATAAGCAGATAAGGTACCTTCTGGTCGGTTTTTAGTGCATCCTCAAGGTTGCTCAGAGAAGGAATAGATCCACCCTCCATTACGCCCATTAGGTTCTTCATACGAACACGCATTTGGAAGAGTTGAGCAACAAGTTGGCTCACCTAGTTTTGATATCACAAGCACACTCACACAAAAGTAAACAGCTGATGAAAACAAGTATAGAACCTCCATTATTTTCCAGCACACACATCAAGTAGCAAGTGTGCATACCTGCTGCTCTGTTTTTCCAGAAGCCTGAGCAACTCTTTTCCTCCTTTCAGGAGACTCTGCTAACAATTCTGGTTTCTCTCTCTCCTCTGTAAATAAACTAAATATCAGAAAGCACTACGAGGACCAGATATTCTGAAGGGATAAACATACCAACACTGTATTACATGGAAGGAAAAGGCATATAATAATATTTCTATGAAATTACAATTACAACCGACCATTTAGACTTTCTGGTTGCATTGAATAAATTATTAGATGCATTTCAACTAGAGAATCAGCCAACAAGCAAAGCTGACTCCAAAAGCCTGGCTTTTGTTAATTGCTGTGTGTTTGGCATCCACAACAAGCGATGAATAGAGGAATGTCTAAGTAGAAGTAGGTGGTTAAAAAGCAAGAAAAATAGGTGTGTAAGGAGAAGAAAGAAGAACATATTAAGTCCTCACAAGACAACATTGTCGGGGTTGATCAACATGTTTGGAATAAGTTCTACTTTCTACTTTTCCAAACATTGTAGTCACTAAAAATTCTAAATAAGCTAATGCCTACTAGGCCAGATAATAAAAGGTTTGATGTCTTTAGTTATTTTGGAAACGAATCAGCAAAAACTTGTAATGCAATACTCTGATAAGGAAAGTACTGATTTGTTCTCTTGTCTGAGTAAAATCATGCAACACATCATGTACCAATAATTGAATCCTGCCCAACAGATTTTCTTATAACATAAAAGATTAATCATAATCAAGTATTGGTTTGAAGTTTCACCAGAGCACATTTTTGAAGAAAGAACTATTAGTAAGAGGATTATAAGGATTCAGCAAACAGAGGGTGCTGGACTAAATGAGGGCAAATGTGTCAAATGCTGTAGTGTCTTATCTCCACTATGTAACATTATATATGTCTCCAATTTGTCTAAGTTTGATATGTCAAAAGCAGTTATAACAAAAGAGCACGGAGAAGAAGAGACCAGGAGTCATCGCTTCAATCATTCCTTCCATTATCTTTAAACTCTTCTCTGCTTCACGAACTTGTGCAGGAGTAACCTGTTTGCATGCACACGTAGGAAAGATAGTTGAAGCCACTTCCATAAGTATACAGAGTTACATGGGAAAGTGATGAGCCACATAAATCTTAGCCAACTTCCATATCTTAGAACAACCAGGAAACACAATAACTGTGAAAAATATTGAAGTTAAACCTGACATTCATACATACCTTTGCCATTCCTGGGATCATCCCTATGACACGAGTCATGGAACCCATCCTAGCAACAGCACGAGTTTGCTTTAGGAAATCATTGAAGTCAAAATTGGCACTCATAATCTTCTTCTGCAGATCTTCAGCATCTTCTTGGCGCATCTGTACAGACAAATCAGCTAAGAATTGCATTGAGATATGCTCACTACAATAAAACAAGAAATGGAATTCACTAGAACTTACAACTTCTTGAGCCTTCTCAACAAAGGACAGAACATCTCCCATTCCTAAGATGCGTCCAGCCATTCGATCTGGGTAGAAAGGTTCAAGATCCTCTATTCGCTCTCCCCGTCCTACAAGCTTGATTGGCTTTCCTGATACCTGCCATCATTCAACTAATAAATACTAAACATACATGAAATATCTGTACTGAGAACTTTTTATCAGTACATATTTGTACTAAATGAAAAAGAGCAATGATATGAAATAGCACTAAGAAACAATCAATAGCTGCTGTCACAAGTATGCATCAGCTGCTAGAACAAAAAGTGCTTCATTCACACAATTTGTTCGATAGAATTTTACACTGTTGATTGAGTGCCATGTCACAAAGTTATTGAAGCATTTTTTGGTGCTTCTGCAAGATGAAACCAGCAACATTTCCAATCATCAATAACTTATTTTCTGCACTGAATCTCTGTATGTGTGAACGATACAGAGATAAGCGAGCTCATTTCCTGCTAAATCTCTCCTCTCACAAAGCAGTGAGAGGCCCAGCAGAACCAGATTTTAGGTGGTGTTCTTGATCAAACCAAACTGGATAACCATTTTTTCTCTAAATTGATCAGTTGCTCAGCTGACTGGGTTTCATATTTTCCAAAATGGCCATAGAATTCATTTCCGATATCCCTATAACATTACCCCAGGGCTTTAATCTCATATTGTATATCATCACACCTCCATATCCAAAAAACAATCAACTTTAAAGGAAGTTCCTAGACAAACAAAGGAGATACAAAGGATATAATGAAATGGACAAACAATTATGCTAACATTTGTTAGAATCACAAAAACACTTCCCTACATAAATTCGAGGCTGCTACAAAATAATGACAAAAATATAAGGAAATTCAAGCACGGACCTCTTTAACACTCAGAGCTGCACCACCTCTAGAATCCCCATCTAGCTTGGTCAAAATGGCACCCGTAATTCCAATTTCCAGGTTGAACGTTGTAACCAAGGCTGGAAGAAGTGCATCCACAAAGTGAGCATTGTAAGTATGAGAGCAAATTACACACCTTGTTTAAGATTATAAATAGCATAGAGAGCAAAAAATTGCAAATAGGAACCATACTGCATGCATAGGATTGTAGATTGACACCCATATGACCAACCAAGGAAAAAAAATGTGTGGCTGTACGTTTGATAATATCCTTTCAATGGATTTATCACAAAAAGCTGAAGATTAACATCAAAAATTGAAATGTCAAGAATAGCAAATTCACAGAGGTTCTGTTGGTACAAGATTCAGGTAAAATGAGCAAAATGGTTCTTTCAATTTCTTATGCAAAAAATGATAGTAAGCAACAGAGAAGTAAATTTTTTATCATATTTGTTAGGTACATGCAACATACCTATGTTATTTGTGAATAAATAGAAAACAAATCAATAGCTCATGCAACACGATAAGTGTATTTGATTACTTCATTAATCTGTAGACTCTATACATAGAAATAAAAACGTCTTCAAGCTCTCTTATAAGATAGTGAAAGACAATGGACGGTGACCAGCAGTTCAAACAATAATCAAATTATCTGACCATTATCAAAGAAAAGTGAAAGCCAGAGTACCTGCAGCTTCTTGCCCAGTCATTGCATCCACAACAAGCAAAACTTCTGTTGGATTCAATACCCGTTTGACGTCTTTCAACTCATCCATCATTCCTTTGTCTATCTGTTAAATGTTATGAAAAAAAAATGTATTCTAGTTAAATAAAAAAACTAAGTTCTACACAAGCAGAGAGTGACAGGGCATATTTTAACTCCCTAGAAAATCAGACACGCAAAGAAGTATTGACCTGAAGCCTTCCAGCAGTGTCTACTATGACCACATCTATGTTCTTCTTTTTGGCCTCTGCTAAACCTTTCCTAGCTATTTCTGAAGGTTTAACATCAGTTCCTTCTGTATAAACAGGCACACCTACCTGTCACAAGCTATAACTAAATATAAGAAAAATGATTAATGTCCAAAAATCAAAAAGATACATGATGAAAGCAAAACAACTAACTCATATAACTACACTAACTTGACAAACATGAAAGTTAGGTCACATCAAAATGAGAAACGTCATATTTAGTACTTCATCTTGGAGTACAAAACATGAATAAACTTTGCCTTCATTATCAAAATTAGCATCAAGAGTGCCAATCTCTGCTAATACAACAATGTTCAATACATGTAATTGCACATTTCACTTGACTTCTTAGGCAAAATCCAAAAGATAGGAAAATGCCTAAAACAGCAGTATTAATCCACTACTCTTCAAATAGGAACTAAAATCAATCAGAATTCAATACCTGTTCACCCAAAATAACAAGCTGATCAATGGCAGCAGGTCTGTACACATCCCCCGCAACAAGCATGCAAGACTTCCCCTATGGTTGACACCACTTACTAGGGTTAAGAACGCAATTAAGCATCACACAAAACTTAACAACAACCGACTACAAACTCCACACAAACCCCAGAAAAAAGGATAGAAGTTTTGGCTTTCAAAATGCACCTGTTTCTTAAGATAATTAGCTAACTTTGCACAAACAGTTGTCTTCCCAACTCCTTGTAGGCCAGCCAGTAATATTACAGTGGGACCAGATTTCGCAAAGACCAATTCAGATACCTCTCCACCCATCAATTTCACAAGCTCTTCGTGCACAGTCTGCAAGAAACAGAGATTCATAACCACCGATACAAACACAACAAAGACTTCCTAGCTTTTCTTGACTTCCGAATTGAAGTCATTTACTCAACAGCTATAGCACATTGATAACACGTTATCAAATTAATACAAGTAGTGCCCACTGTCTCCTAAGAGTTTTTAAGCATGGTGCAGGCTAGCTTCAATTCAAATAAGAAAACAAAGACAGTAATTTAGAGAAACGGAAGAATAGAGCACCAGCTACGCCAACCAATGAGAATCATAAGGGAGCATACCACTTCAAAACTCACTGAAAACTTATTGAAACTCCCAAACATAAAGAAGGAAGCTTCACCATTTTTATTTCACAAATCACTCAGATTGTTGACCTTTTAGAAATATTTGGTTCACTTAAATTTATACCTTGACTAATTGCTGATCAGGTTTCACTCCTCTTATCAAGCCAACACCAACAGCTCGGTCACTGACTGATTGCACAAACCTTCGAACCACAGGAAGGCTTACCTGTCAATAAACCACCCATATTAATTTGTTTAAAAAAGCATTAAAAGAAACTCAAGTTCTGGTTTACAAATTTCCTCACATCAGCTTCCAGTAGAGCTCTTCTAATATCCCTCATTGGCTCCACAATATTCTCCTTGGTCAAAACCTCTGCAACAGAAAAAGAAATTCGACCACATATCATTTTTTCAGTCGCTGAAAAAGTTGCTAAATTTCTTTTATTAAAAAAAATAATCAGAAAAATAATTGAAGTGCACAAAAACAGCATGTAAGCTCAAACCTTCTCCTTTAAGCTTGTTCCAAGCAGATTCAAGGCCACTAGTTAACTGACCAAACATTTCTGCTTTGACCATACCACTCCCCAGTTCTCTTCTCAAAGTAACGGTACTCTTACAATTCACCCACTTCCATATCTCTCTCTGTTCATCAAAGGGAGAAAAAAGCAAGACCAATTTGTACATAAAAGATAAGCCAAATTCAAAAAACTCCAAATTTACTAAAATGGGTGTTCTTTCTTTTCTATTCCTTCCTTTATTGAACTTACAGTGAATGAATTTCTTGAAGAAAGTGAAGTGACATTATTGCTTGAGCCAGTCCACGAAAAACAAGAAGATTTAGTTGAATTTCTTGGACAACTTGAAAAGTAAGAGAGACTCTTATTGTTTCTCGCAAGAGAAGGTGTAGAGAAATGTCGAGAGACAACGGTCGAGAATTGTAACGCCTCCATTGCCAAAAGGTAACGAGCTCACTGTCTGGTTTTTTATCTGTTGAAAATCTGTTTGTTCTATTCTATCTTCTTCTTTATCAATTTGGTTGATTTGGATAACACGCGGACTTTGGCTTTATTTTGATTTGGGGGATCAGGGCCGTCAAGATCTATGACGTGGACTTGTAGATCAAAATGAATCATTATTTGTATTACCTAGTCCTTATAGTTTTAGAAATTAATTATTTTACTCCAATAATCTTAGAACCAACTAGCATATATCTCGCGTGTTGCCACGGGACAAGCTATATAACATTTTTATGTATTCATTCATATAAATAAAAAATTTAAAAATAATTATTCAAAAGGATCACATGAAAAAAAAAAACTAAAACATATATCTCATATTTTGCTACGGGGTTAGTTAAATGAAAAATCTTTAAAATTGAGTAATATAATGCTACTAATTAAATATTGTTTGATATAAACATGTATTTTATTAGAAATATATATAATAAATAATAATTAAATTAATGATGTGGTAGTTTTTTGAATTTTATATGATTAATTTTTATCATATATTCTTCATTTGTAATTTGTTAATGAGATAGAGAAACCATTCAAGATAAAAAGATAAAAAAGCTTTATCAAATCGAGAATTTACAAAAAAAAAAAAAGATAAAATTACACACATTAAAAATTAAATGATCAAAAGAAAGTAAAGATCATAAAAGAATGATCAAAATAAATAAAAAATTCACTAAAAGAAAAAAAAACTTATAAAAAATAATACTAAAAACAATTCATTATAGATAAGGCAGGAACAAAAGTAAAACATTATAGAATTTTAATGATCAAAATAAAAAAAAAGTCATAAAATAATAACTAAAACGGAAAATATGTTTTTGCTAAAAGCCAAAAAAAAAAAAAAAAACCTAGAATAGTGAAACCGCATTTAATTTTAGTATAGAAATAATAATAATCAAATATAATAAAACTTTAATGATCAAAATAAAAGAAAGATCACAAAATAAAAACAAAAACATAACAAAAAGTTTTACTAAAAGTAAAAAATAGTTCCTCATAGGAAAAAAATCAAATATAATAAAAATTCAATAATTAAAATAAAAAACAATTACAAAACATGGATTAAAATAAAATTATACTAAATTCAATGGCCAAAACAAAACAAAAAAAATCACAAAATAGGAATTATAATAGAAAGAAAAGTTTCATTAAAAGCAAAAACATGATAAAACTTTAATGACTAATAAAAACATATCACAAAATAGGAACAAAAAAAAGACATAAATTTTTACTAAAAGCCAAAAAAAAATATTTATTATAGGGATAAAAATAAAATATAATAAAAATTTTAATATTTATTATAGGGACACAAATCAAATATAATAAAATTTTATATTTATTATAGGAATGAAAATCAAATATAATAAAATTTTAATGATCAAAACAAAAAAAATTACAAATCAAGGACTAAAATAAAAATAAAAGCCAAAAAAAGGGGTTGAAAAACATAGCAAGAGGAAAAAAAAAAAAAAAGGGGGAGAGGGAACAGTAAATGAACTGTAGCACTTTCCCGTTTTCATTTATTATATCTTATAATAATTTTGACTTTTAATTTTCTAATAAATCACTTACTTTTTTTACCAATTAATGCACAAAGTGACATAGTAATTATGGAATAAACTATGATAAATCTTTAAAGTATTGCAAAATTACTAACACAAACTAAAAATTTGGTGATTCTGACCAAAAAAATCTTTTTAAATTTAAGAAATTATTATTGAAATACCATTTTTTATACTCAAATAACTCATTAAAGTTTAATTTTTTTTTAGACATACATTAGCTATTTAAATTATTTTGATATGACGAATTTATCCTAGGAAATTCTTTAGAAAGTTAAAAATTCCCTTTGGATCTTAGGATGAAATAAGATGTTTTTTTATTTAATAAATGATTCATGAATATTATTGTTTAATTTCCCTATAATTGCAATTGGTCAGTCCATTTTGTAACTATACCTTTATTGATATTCTATATAAATGCTAAATAATGTAAATTATGTTTTTTAAATCATCTTTAAACTACATATTATTGAATATACCTTTATTCATATTCTATATAAATGCTAAATAACGTAAATTATGTTTTTTAAATCATCTTTAAACTACATATTATTGAATTAGGAATTAAAAAAATCCAATTATTAAATCGGATGCCTAACTATTTTTATAAGGGATATTAGAGTATCGTCTTTATAGCTCTTTAATCCTTTGCATGGAATTTTTTTTTTTTAAACAAACACTACAGATATTCATAAACAATTACATTTCGTTTGATTGCTATTCTATAATATTATTAATTGCCATATTTCTTTTTTGAATGGAGGAAGATATTTCTACCCGCCGAAACCTACCAGAATTTAACCGTTTTCCTTCACTTTCATTCTCCCTCATTAAAACGGCCCTTTTACCGCCGTTTTCACTGTCTCCGTCATTGCCATGGCTATGAAGACCAAACTATATCACAAACTCCAATCAACCACAACAAAAAACCCGCAATGGAACACCCTTTTAAGAGAACTAGCAAACAAATCCCTTTTCACCAATGCGCTCTCTGTCTACCTCCAGATGCTCCGCTCTGGCGCCTTTCCAAACGCATTCACTTTCCCATTCGCTCTCAAATCCTGTGCCGCGGTTTCTCTCCCTACCACAGGGAAACAACTCCATTGTCACATCATTAAAACTGGATGCTTATTAGAACCCTTTGTACAAACCTCTTTGATTTCTATGTACTGTAAGTGCAGCTTGATCGATAATGCACGCAAGGTGTTTGATGAAAATCCTCAATCGAGAAAACTAACTGTTTGTTACAATGCTTTGTTGTCTGGGTATGCGTTGAATTCTAGAGTTAAAGATGCCGTGGTTTTGTTTTGTGAAATGAGGGAATTGGGTGTGGAAATTAATGGGGTTACGATGTTGGGTTTGGTTCCGGTTTGTGGGGTCCCGGGGAATTTGGGATTGGGGATGTGTGTCCATAGTTTTTGTGTGAAGTTTGGTTTGGATATGGATTCATCTATTGGGAATTGTTTGCTTACAATGTATGTAAAAACTGGGGAAATTGATTGCGGAAGGAAGTTGTTTAATGAGAATCCACGAAAAGGGTTGATTACTTGGAATGCAATGATTAATGGGTATGCGCAAAACGGGCTTGCTAATAATGTTTTGGAACTTTATGAGGAGATGGAATCGAAAGGGGTTTGTCCTGACCCTTTAACACTTGTCGGGGTTCTTTCTTCTTGTGCTCATCTTGGCGCACTTAGTGTTGGTAGGAAGGTAGAGAGGAAAATGGAGGATTTTGGGTTTGGCTCAAATCCATTTTTGAATAATGCTTTGATTAATATGTATGCGAGATGTGGTAATTTGACAAAGGCTAGGGATATTTTCGATGGCATGCCAGTGAAAAGTGTGGTTTCGTGGACGGCAATCATAGGTGGGTATGGGATGCATGGACAAGGAGAGGTTGCGGTGGAGCTTTTTGATGAGATGATTAGGAGCAGAATTAGACCTGATGGCACAGCTTTTTTAAGTGTTTTGTCTGCTTGTAGTCATGCTGGATTAACTAATAAAGGGTTGAATTATTTTGGTGTAATGGAGAGGAAGTATGGGTTGCGGCCTGGTGCAGAGCATTACTCTTGTATGGTGGATCTTTTAGGTCGTGCTGGTCGGCTCAAAGAGGCTCGGGAGCTTATTGAGTCTATGCAAGTGAAACCTGATGGTGCTTTGTGGGGGGCCCTTTTGGGTGCGTGTAAAATTCACAGAAATGTAGAGTTAGCAGAGTTGGCTTTCGAACGGGTCATTGAGCTTGAACCTACAAATACCGGCTACTATGTTTTGTTTTCTAATGTATATACCGAGGCAGGGAATTTGGAGGGGATACTGAGAGTTCGAACGATGATGAGGGAGCGAAAGCTCAAAAAGGATCCAGGATGTAGTTATGTGGAATCTAAAGAGAGAGTTCACCTTTTCTTTGCTGGAGATAGAAATCATCCTCAAACAAATGAAATATACAAGAAGTTGGATGAGTTAGAAAATTTGGTGAAGGACCTTGATGGGTCTAAGAAGAATGATCACGAGAGAAGAGAAGAATATCTTGATAGTATGGGTGTGCATAGTGAAAAGTTGGCTGTTGCATTTTCGCTCTTAAACACCAAGAAAGAAACAGAGATTGTTATAATAAAAAATCTTAGGATATGCAGAGATTGTCACTTATTCATAAAATTGGTTAGCAAGATTGTGTATCGTCAATTTGTTGTCAGAGATGCAACCCGCTTTCACCATTTCAAGAATGGATTCTGTTCTTGCAAAGAGTACTGGTAATGCTCACGAGGTTTCTATATTTGTAGAGCCACGTCTAACTAAGAGCAAAAACAAGAATGGTTTTTCTGAGAATAGTTTACAAGAACCCAACTACTTCCCCATAAACCAGTAAAGTGCAATTAAAAAGGCTAGGGTTGGTTTGATTCCGAAACGTTGGATGCTCATTGCTCAATATAAGGTGGCAATGTCTGGTTGCTTGTACTATTTGCTCAAACATCTAGGCTGATCAGCTGCAGGCTTTATGCTGCAAATTGTCATGCCGCTTTAACAGTTATCAAAGAGGAGAGGAGAGGGGTTGTGAGAAAATAGTAGGCCCTTTATGATCATGCTCAAGCTTGCCTTCAATCAGGCTACAAGGCTCCTTATATAGAAGGTGGAGGGACTTGAGTGAGGTAACATGTTATTGTTCATGTAATGCACTATTTACAAGGACACTTTACAGACACTATACAAGATGCAAAAGTTACAACAAAGGCACACTTTATTTATGATGCACTGGAATGCTGTTTTTGATGCACTGGTACTCCTTTTGCGATGCACTGGAACTCATTGATACATCCACTTTTTTTTACACTTGAGAGTACAAATCTAGTTACTTTTAAATGTACAAAAGATTGTACAAATGTCTTATATCTCAACTACCTATGGAAAGGTCACTAGTCACTACATCAGAAAAGAATCGAAATTCTGTTTTCTGATTATGTAATATGCCACAATATGCATGCAATTCCACATCAAAAGAAAGAGAGAGAGGGACAGAGGGAGAACGGAAGTACACAATCAGAACTGTTTGATCAAGCCTGCAATGGGTACTACTGCCTCGGTTCCAGAAATGCACTCGTCTTCAACAAATGGAATGGTTTTCCATACAGTCAATCTCATTGGAGCACTCATCCCATCATCACTTGTTTTTTCTTTTTCGGTGCAAATGGCAGCATAATGAGAACTGGCCAATTCAAAGAGCCCAAATTTCCAGTTGTTTGTGAGACTCACAGGGTGATCAGAAGATTCAACAACTACTTCAGACGCCTGATCGCAGAATTTGAAAGAATCATTAATCAACAGCTTGCTTAAGAAGATCCCTTATACTAAAAATAGCAACAAAAAGAAGGTCAGGATGATGTACAAACTGGAAGATCAGAAATAGTAGGACAAAAGGGCAGAGTCGGCAGACCGTCTAAGGTTTAGAATGCTCTGTTCTATTTTGTTGGTATAAACTGTGAAGAATTAGCATTTTAAAAGTGGCAATATATGATAACCAAAGGAGCTTACAGGAGGCAAAAAATAAAAAAATAAGCTTCCTATGCTATCTGTGGTACAACTCAAGTATTGCTTTCTAGGTAACCTTTCTTTATTTGCAGCATAAAGCTCAAAGCACAGAGATGACCTCATCAAACTTGATAAATAGTTCATTTCCTTTGCATTGGTTATCTGCTTACGAGTCATAGATTCCAGCAATGCGTTGCCATGGACATAGCTCTTGATCACACTTCAAAATATGTTAATTTATTTGCATGCATTTCTAATTTGCATTAGAGCTTTCTAAAAAAAAAAACTCAAAAGAATTTTACTGACATACCCCAGATTCTAAATAATCAGAACAATCAAAGCCCCTCTCGGTGGCATTCTTTATGCGAATGGTGAAAGTCTTGAAAGGTGCAGCAGAGAAGCCTCTTCCCAAAGCTTTCACATACGCCTCCTAAAAATAAGATGATCTGCCAATGAGAAGATTGAGGAAAGCATATCTGGCCTGTAATTTCCATGAGAAATTGCTTTCCGGTGCATATACAACTTTTGAATTGAACATGAACTTGAAACAGAACACATGCTGAACTCAGTCAAGCATTGAAGTCCCTTGCTTATGTACCAATTTAATTCTGATTTAAAATCTCATAATATATATATATATATATATATTATGAGAGATTTTAAATCAGAATTAAATTGGTACATTCAGGATTGATACATATATATACAGATTTCTACAGTTACAGTTGACAAGTCTATTTGATATCAATAATATGAGTGTAACTGTAGTGCCTTGTGGCTAGTCTAGAAACAAGACAGGAGTGCATTCCGTTAGCTAACTGTTTAATTAACTTTCACACCCGTCAGTTAAATGCAATTGAAACTTATACAGTCTATCTGATAGGAAATATGTTCATCTAATTGAAATGGCAAATCGTAGATATAACTCTTGTATTTCTTTGGCCAGATATCTACATGCAAAAGGAGAACAGATGGATAGAAGAGAGGGAAAACATGTTGGACTGATAGAAATCTTAATATCTTTGGTACCAATAAATTGGCATGGAAGCAGACTTTACTGCTAGATACAGAAGCAAGGAAAAAACAAAATAAAAACAGTAAGGAAGTTCTACAAAGAGTTGTGCATAAATCTAAGGAGAAAAAAATATTTCATGCATCTTGGCAATTCAATTTTGACAAGTATCATAGAAAAACTAGCATTAATCCTGCAGAATATTGTAACAATTCAAGAGGGCGTTCTTGCATTTTCTACCAGACAATAGCCAAAAGATGAATAAAGTATGCCAAGTCTATAGCTTTAACACATAGTTTAAGGATGACATAGCACCAAGCTCACCTTGAGAGTCCATAATTTAACAAATTCCTGGCGCTGAACTTCAGAGTCTGAAATAGCACTTAAATGTTCCACTTCATGGAGAGAGAAGTACCTCCGTGCAAAAGCTAAGATATCATTTTTAATCTTTCGTTGCTTCTCTTCTACATCAATACCAATCTAGAAATTAAAAATTAAAACAGGCTCCATCAATTTATTACGAACCAGCAGAAACTTAGATAAACGCATCCAGGTCACCGTAGGCATCACATTAGCTGAAACTATACTTTAAAGAGCAAAAATAATCAGAGCACATACTGGCGAATTCACAGTCACTCCACAAGCTATCAAAGATGAAGTATGTGAGATATTGAAATGTAACGGTGAAGGGCACTGGCCATCATCACTTTCCCACTCTAGCTACAGCATGAAAGCCACATAAGTAGTATAAGAAATGAAAATGAGCTTCAAGAACTAAAAATGTGAAGAAACACATTCCACAAGAAAAAAATGAGAAATAAAACAATAGTACCCATCTGAATAACAAAAAAAAACTAACCTGAGGCTTTCCATGAACATTCCTCTTGAACTTCAAAGATCTTGGATCAACAACATGATTATTTATCTGATCTAGTAATAAAACAGCATCATTCAACAAAGCACAAGTGATCTTTTTCTATCCATTACACAGTGCAAAATACACATCATGGCAGAATATATTATTGAGGTTTTAAAACTGCCATCCTCCTACACATCAGTTTAATGAAAATGAGAAAGAAACCAGCCTCTGCTTTAAATAATAGTGAAATGAGAGCAAGATCCCATGTCTCTCTTTTCGCCCAGAAAAGTGGATGATCCAACTTATTATTCTAAGATACTTCATGGTCCCACATCTAATCTTTCTCCTTAATTACTGCAGAATTTGCATATATTCAAGACCAAACATGTTATTATCTGATAGGGTCCATTGCAAGAACAAATAAGCAGTCCAGGTCTCTAAGAAATGCTGCAATTGCGACCCAATAATGCCATAACCGACAGCATCTTGAATCACATATGCTACAAACAGTGTAGCACTGCCGGACATTGATATGATCAAGCCTAGCAATGACATGTTTTAAATTGCTCTAGTTTGACTCTGAATTGGATCCTTGAGATATTATTCATAACTTCAAGAGATCAAAAGAACAGTTCATTCCAGTTCCTGGATTCATTATTTATTTTCTTTTCAAACCAAATCGAATTAGATTGCCTATCGGAAGAATCAAGACCACTAAACTGACGGACAACTATATCTGTTTAGCTACTACTAAAATGAATTCTATAAAGTGCTCAATTACAACATCCAGCTAAATAACATCTGAATTTAAGATGTACACTAGATAAAATGCTAATATGCTGCTGGAAGCAAGCATTTTGTAAGTACCATTCATATAGTGACAGATTTTCTTTAGTCTACAGAAGCAACTAGCAAAAAATTAGCGTTAATGTTTGTTCTGTGGAAACACATAGTCACCCGCGAATCCAAATTTGAAAGATTCATTTTATCAAACACCTATTGAAATCACAACTAAAGCCAAATTCTAAAGCCCATTTATCCTTAATTTACATAACATTAATTAAAAATCAAAGCTTCAGCTGTAAAGAAAAGGGTATTTGATAAAAAAAAAATGACCTTAAACAGGAATAGCTGACATAATACTTACATCTTGCAATAGTAGTGCGAACCAAAGTACGGGCAAGCAAGGCTCTTTTCTGGAGCTGGTCTCCACGCATACTCAAAACATTTTCTTTCTCACATGGAGATAGAAGTTCCATGTATTGATTTAAAAGAGATACACTTTTGAATTCATCAGGCATAACAAACCAAACATGGGTTTCCCTAAAACAATCAAAATAAACAACATAAGCAATCATTAAGTTCAAATGGGTATCGACGGAGAACTAAAAAGACAATAAAATATATGACTACTCTTACAGTGGAGATGGAAGCTGTAAGGGAAGTAGAGGGAAGGGGGAAACGGAGAAATTCCTTTGAAAGCTACGCATCTTCTGCACAAAAGAGGACATGCGTGCTATTTTGTGAGTGGCTTTGTGTACTATAATATCGTTATGATGTTTCAAGATTCAAAATTTAGAGAGTGAGAGAGTGCCTATGATGCCTGTTATGTTATTATGGTTGCTGGAACCAGGATGTCAGGTTCTTCGGTGGTGACGCGACGGTGAAAACAAAAGAATAATACTATTTAAGAATCTCGATAAATAAAGCCCAAACCAAAGCCCATTTGTTGTTTCAAAGCAAGGCCCGAACAATTTCTCCATCGTCGGAAGAACTATTTTGGAATTGGGCTTGTTATCTTTTGTGCTGGAACTGACAATGCAATGCCCACAATGAGCGAAATTGGCCCTATTCGTGATGGAGTATAAATTAAAGGGATTTTTTTCCTATTTAATTCGAACTTTTGATTTATTAATTCTAACTTGTATTGCTTTATTTCTTGAAAAGAGTCATTTTTTCAATGAAATATATTTTGAAGATAAATTATTTATGAAAAATAACTTTTGAATTGTCTTAAAATTAAAATTTTTATTTTCTCAAGTAATAGTCAAACCTTTTTTTTTTTTTTTTTTGCTTCTTCTACGCTTTTTATACGTAACATATCTAGTCCGAAATAAATACATACATACATATGGAGAAAATCTGGTGTGAAGATGAAAATCCTTGCAACATAAGACTACATGAATTCCATTAAAACAATAGGAGTAATCATCTAAAAAAGAAGTAAAAACTGCTTATAGAGCTGCAGTATGTTTTATTTCGTAAACGTCTTCTAGTTTTCACTTACATTCAATCATATTAAAAAAATAAAAACACCCATAGATATTTCTTTATCCCTGGCAACAAATATATATATATAAATATATGTGTTGAAGGACATGTAGCGGTACTTTTATTTTTTAGGGCTTCGTAGCTGCCAAAGTATTGCCAATGTCAATGACAAATCGATATCTAACATCGTTTTTAGCCAAACGTTCCATTGCTGTGTTCAGATAATCCGCTGAAATAACTTCAATTTCTGCAGTAATGTTGTGTTTTGCTGCAAAATCGATCATCTCTTGTGTCTCCTTCATTCCTCCAATGCCACTCCCAGCTATTGTCTTCCTTCCTGTTTTTCCTTCATCTTATTAGCCATACACATTTACAATAAACTGAATAATTTAATTTACAGCAATCGGATGTTATACTGACCGCCAATCAGAGGAAAGACAGGTAGTTCTAGAGGCTTTTCAGGTGCACCCACCAAGATAAGCTTTCCGTGAGACTTCAACAATCCCAACAATGGCAAAATGGGATGAACAGCAGAAACTGTATCAATGATGCCATCTAATGTGCCAGCGGCAGCCTGCACATTCCAGTATATACTCAACTCTAATACAAATTACTAATCGATATAAACTTATCTCAATCTAAACAAGCTACAAAATATTTTGAAATTTAATGGGAAATGAACATATAAGAATATGAAATTACCTGCATTTGCTCTTGGTCACGGCTAACCAAAAATGAGTCTGCACCTAAATTCTTCAAAGCCTCCTCTTTCTTGTTAGCGGAAGTACTAATTACTGTCACTTTAGCTCCAAAAGCCTTAGCAAACTTAACAGCCACATGACCAAGTCCACCAAGACCAACGATACCAACATGCTTGCCCGGTTCACTTAATCCAAAATATTTTAAGGGACTATACACTGTAATCCCAGCACAAAGAAGAGGAGCGCCACCATCTAGGGGCATGTTGTCGGGGAATCGAACAATGTATCGTTCATTAGCGATCATGTGATCCGAGTAGCCTCCATAAGTGATGCTTCCATCATGGTAGATAGAGGAGTATGTCAGGATCATTTTTGGACAGTAATTTTCAAGATCATTAGCACAACTCTCACAGGAGTGACATGCACCAACCAAGCATCCCACGCCAACTTTGTCTCCCACCTTCACCTTTTTTACCTTGCTCCCAACTTCGGTCACTTCCCCCACAATTTCATGTCTGTAGACCACCATTCCAGTATTAGGATCATGAAGAATAAGTAGGCTAACTGATTTAGAGTACAAAAAAATCAAACCATTATTTTTTGGACTGATTGAACATCCGTAAAAATTTAACAACTAACTTCATTTGCCAATGAGTGAGTTTTGCCAGGTGCACTGTTAATAGTTTTAGTAACAATTTGCCAAATTGAGGTGACACTAACAATAACAAAGGGTTTCGATCAACAAGACTTGGCACTTGTACATTTTTTTTGAGACACTTAACTTGCCCATCACTGAATCATCAAATATACAAATAGTTGATTAACATATGCAGTCCAATACTTGATTGGATTTGTGTGCTACTTCCAATCAAGACTAAGGGCTATACGGTTAAAGAAACTCAATACTATCTATATTCACAAAAGAGGGGGGGGGGGGGACTTGACTGCTTTGTTCCAATCCCCTACCTTTTTGTAAGTATTTCCAATAAAACTTTACTTATATCATGAAATATTGTTTTCCCCACGAATATGAATATGATAGAATAGAACCAGATGAAAAGAACAAAAAGGACTGGCCGGCCGGTAGGTTTTATTTTTCATGAGCACAGAGAGAGGGGCAAACTTTTTGACTTTGATGGAAACTGCTCTTAAGGTCTACAAATTAGAGTGAAACGTTGTACATTCAACGTTAGGTGGAGGATAAAGACGCACTCTGTCAGTCTTATGATCTGTAGTTCAACTAATGCTAATGGGCCTACCACAACAGCAGAAGCTGTCCCCAAGGCATTGGTGGGACTTGGGAGATAACTAAGATGTCGACAACGCAAGCCCTTGGATTATTCAAACAAGTCACCTCTTTTCGTAAACAAATTTAACTAAACAACATAGTGGTAGGAGCAGAAATAAGAGATGAGAATCAGAACTAATTAAAGTTGTAAGTAAAATGTCCAGCAAATTGCATCACTATCAGTCAACAGTGGTGTGGGCTTTCTATTGAGCACTGCTTTAAAAAATTAGATGGGGGAAATATAATCCAACTGCGTGGTTTCTTTTCCCTTTTTCCTATGACCTAGAAAATTACTATTGTTGTTGTTGTCGTTGTTGTTGTTGTTGTTATGTACTGGTTAATCTTTAATTATTGCTCAACAATTTAAAAACAAAACTAATTAGTTCCAAATGTATGTCTATCAAAACTAGAATTTAGGTTTCAGATTCAAAGCATAAAAGGGATGGGGTTTTTCTTTGGAACATTTTCATTGATATTAATTAGCATGAAAAAAATTAAGTGTGTGTGGAACTTTGTGACATATTTATTAGAGTACTTGAAAGAAATTAGATAGAATGAGAATATGATTGCAATAATCATTTTACAGCATCTGTTACAAATTAACTAAGAATAAATGATTTTTTTACCTTGGATAAACTCTGCTGATGTGAATTTTTTTAATAAATTAATGACTATTGCTTAAAAGCTTAAGTTTTAAGAAATTAATTGCTGAAGGAGAACAATAGTGATTGACGAGAGATAGCGAAGGGAACCTAATTACTGATCAGGGAAATTTTTATTTGAAAAGATCAGTTGGTAGGGGGGTTGATTTCAGATCTAATTTAGTGACTTGGGTGAAAGATCACCATCATCACATCAAAATCCATTTTGGAATAATTTTTTTGACGACATAAAAGAATTAAGCACCTTGACGTAATTTTTTCCTTTTTATAATTAATCGAGTTCATAGAAACTTGTTTTTTCTTTTGGTTAAGAGTGTTAATGCAAGACATTTCTAGTTCTTAATTACGATTACTACGTATTTTAGTAAAATTTACAAGCACTTGAATTTAATAAAAAAGTAGAAGTAATTAATACAGGAAGGAAGGAAGAGTGAATATGGATTTACCCAGGAACCAAAGGGTACATCGAGAAGCCCCAGTCATTCTTGATGCTGTGAAGATCAGAATGGCATATCCCACAGTATAACACCTTGAACCTCACATCATCTTCACCGGTAGCCCTACATATATACATATACATATACAGATACATATATATTCATGATATATCCAAAGGGAAAAAAACAATTAAAAATGGAGAAAGAAGAAACAAAGAATCACCTCCTAGAGAAGTTGAAAGGAGAAAGATGACCGGATTGATCCTTAGCAGCCCACCCGAAGGCCTTCACAGGGTGTTCTTCTTCTGGTGACTTCGACATAGTGTTTCAGATAGAGAAATGTTAACTGCAGAGGAGAAGAGCAAGAAAATGAAGAGTGCACCTTTTTTTTTTTTTTTTTGCTATTTGTCAATCTTTTCTTTCTATATATAGAGGGACGTAGAGGAGATGTTGCCGTGTGAACAGAATCTATAGTTGACGTCATTGGTTAGCTAAACGAAAGTATGATTATCGCTTAAAAAATAGGCAGTCTACGTTTTTTTCGAGAAAATTGATTAATTTTTGCCAAGAGATGTTCTGTCTGATTTCGTAATTGGATCTTAAAAATATTTAATTTTGAAATTAAAAAAAAAGGTCTAAGGAGTGCTGGTAGGAAACCATAAATTATTATCTAAACATATTTATTAATTTTTTTAATTAAGTTTTAATATTGTTAGTGTAGACATCTAAGATCCAACTCAACTTGTTTGGATTATTTGAAATATTATATTATTTTATTTTCAATATTAACAAATAACTCTTTATATTAATTCATATTATTTATAATTTGATAGAATTAGATAAAAAATTATATGATATGCATTGCCTTGATAATTGATCGATAGATGTGAAATAAACATCTTTGCACATAAATAATATAAATGTACAAAACCATAGCATTGTCAACATCGGACATGATTTTGGACATTGACAATATGTAGTAAAACTTGTGAATGTTATGCTCTTGCTGTAAAATAATAATAAGAGATCTCACTCCTACCGGTATGATGATGCAAAAACAAGCACACAGTTGAATAATGTTAAAAAACATATCACTAGACATTACTCGTTGTGAGAACCCATTTGATATAGTTTATAAGAATCTCATACGAGATAAATACAAATAGTCATTTGACTTGAAATCATCACGGTTATGTCATTAAAGGATTAGTGTACTTTAACATTCGTTTTGTTGAGATCAATAAAGAGTTGCATGTGGGTTATTCGTTGGGTACATCATGAATCTAATGAAAATAGGTGGATAACCGAGATGGGATATTTCATTCCTTATATGCTAAAACGAGTTTATCATATTGTATTTCGATAAATGTCTACTTAAAAATTTGTGGTCACGGTAAAAATACACCAATAGAGCATGATTGGTTTAATTGAGAGTTAAGATATTTTGAGATCAAAGAAAACTTGTATAATCATAATCGATCAAACAACAAATCGAGTTTGAGTTCATATTATGATAAATTGATATAAGGATTGAATTGTATGGAAACATACTCGTTAAAGGTTATTGCGAATTAAGTAATTATTCTACATAATTGGATAGTCATGATGCCTTGCCGAGAGGTCAATCTTGATTTATATATCGGGTGATAAAAAAAGTGTCTTTTATTTCTCAATACATTGTCAACATATCAAGAAGCCTATTGAATCACATACATAAGTTTAAATATTCATACGGAAAAAGGGAAGCGAATAATTCGAAAAAAGTTTCATAATTTGGAAATTAATTTTCTAAAATAGAAATTAGTTTCCTAATTTGAAAAAAGTTTTCTAATTTGAAAATCAATTTGCTAAAATAGAAATAAGTTTTCTAATTCGAGTTTAATAAACTGCAAAGGTAACTTGGGAAATTATTAATTTCCTAATCTAAGACTCTCTAAAAAACCTAACCTAGTTTATTTAGATTGTCTAAATTAATTGCCGAGTTATTGGGTAAAAAAAAGTTTAGGCCGACAAATTTAAGTGAAAGCCTACGAGGGACATTTTAAGTGAAGGGGTATTTTTGAAAACTTTAGACAAAAGTTCATTAAACCTAATTCGGAGTTTATAAGGATAAGACGCATCAAACCACAAAACACACAAATTCCTCACGGAAAATGAGAGTGTTTGAATTTTCTATAAGAGACAGAGAGGTTCAACTACTTTAACGAAAGAAATTGCACAATCATTATAAAAAAAGAGAATTGCATCATTTTCTAAAATAAGATTTCTTGTGAGGAAAGCTACATAGCAAAAAGAATTGTAAGTAACACTCTAGGTCTTATGTCGCTTCTTTGTATTAGTGTTTAGCTATATGGATTATTATTAAAGATAGAACGTTTAAATAGTTCAATCCATGCTTGATACTACACTTCAAGAGATAATATCTTATCCATTTTTGTTAATATAGCTAGATGATTCAATGAGTAATTTTGAAAATTTAAATGGAAGAGAATCTATAGAATGCATGATTCTTTATATATATATATATATATATATATATATATATATATAAATTTAGGAAAAATCCAAATTTATTATAATTCTATTGTTTGCCATGCCGATAATAATATAATTTAATTATAAAAGCAAAATGCAACTTTCTTATGCTTTTTAATACTACATAATTAGATTGTTTGATAGTGATTAAGCTTTTGTGAATGTCGATGTGATGGATTCCCTTTAATTATTTTCACCTGCTGCTACCAACTCAACTCCCGAACCTATAGAAACTGGGGCCACTACACATGTTAGTGGTATTTTGTTTCATTCTGAACTTTTGCACTGAAATTCGGGGGCAAGCATCTTAGTAAACCATGGATGACAAGAAAATGGGAAAACTAATTAATTGTAAAGCATCATCCTACTTTTTTTTTTCAAAGTTGTATTATTTACGATCTCATGTTGGAGCTGCATCATTGTGACAAACTATCAACCAAATATCCCATCAAAGTTGGGCTTAAAAATATTATATTCAAAGTTCTACTCATCATCTCCTGGGGCCTAACCGACAGTGGTTTCCTGATGGTTAGCTACACCTCATATCGACGTAACTTTTGCAATGATAAGGGCTTGGATTTGGGAGGTGATATTAGGGATGGTAAACCTATTAATTCAATTTTTTATTTTATATATAAAAAAATATTTTATTTATTATTTATTAAAAAATTACAATATAAAGACTTAGATTACCCGTGGTTTAGTACCCATTTAATACTTAGTAAAGATAATTTGTCAAATATATTTTATTTGAGTCTCTGAAATTTTAAGAAAGTTTTTTAGTTTTTAAATTTATATATATTTTTGTCATTTCTTTATAATTTTTTTAAAAATATATTTTAGCTTTTGATTTTTCAAGTTTATATGATTAGATTACTGCATGTTTGAAAAAAAATTCAAAATAAGCTAATGGATATCAATAAAGCAATGAGTGGATGTTCATATTCTGAAATTATATTAACGGATATGTATTTTTTTTTTTTACCTTTACCTATTTTAAAACTTATTAGACATTTTTAATTAGTAATTATTGGATCGAATAAAACGAATATCAATTTTCTATCTGATTCATTATAATCCCTAGGTGATAGTGACACATGTTTAGATTAATGTTATCTTCATTTTTTCAAAATAAAAATGTAAGGTAAAGCTGAAAAAGATTAAAAAAGAATTTTAAAAGCATCAACCGAGAAATACCAACTGCAAAACTCACTTTCCCTCTCTTGATTTTTCTTTAATCACAATAGAACAACCTGTTTTGAATTTTTCTTCTTTGATAATGGAGTTCCATTAGTAAAATTAGAGTGCATCACACTGACCAAAAATCTAAATTCCTATGGAACTTCTTACATCGTATTTTTTCTTCCCAAATAAAAAACATCATAGATGTTGAAATCACAGGTATTGGAAGAAAGAAAGTTTTAAAGTGCATGGGTCCATTGCCAAATGAATTAATTCTAAACCATTCCATAAATTTAAAGTTTTGAGTTTTGAAACTCAGTTTCAACTTTATGGCACTCAGCAGCACCGAGTTATACTACGGCCCAATTACAACTCACTGCCACCAAGGCCTTAATTATAACTCAGCTGCAAGCCTGGGCTTGCAACTCACCACTATCAAGCTATTGTAACGCAATTGCAACTCAGTTTCAACTCGCCACCACCAAACTCCACCCATTTCAAAAGCCCACAAAAACCTTTGCAACTTAATCTTTCTACAGTCCATTTTTGTAGTTTCAACAAACCCAACAGTAATGGGAGACAGGATTGGGTGAGAAAACCCATAACAAAGATGTTGTTAATCCCTGTTCACTGGCAACTTTGTCAGTCAATCCCTTTCAAAAAATGGAATAAGTTGGGTAAAAACCACCGTCCATTATTGTTATAATAGTAATGATAATTTGGTTGGGATTCTAGCAATCGCAAAGTTACTGAACAAGGCAGCTCAAGGCTGGAATTCAGTAAGATGCTGAAGATAGTAGAATAGGGGAATGTCAATTGATCAGAAGCTGTACTATGAAAAGATTATGTTAGAACCGGTTAAGGAAATCATGAAGCGCCAAAAGGTTAATGAACACCCAGAAACACTTACAAAAAGCACACACGAAATCACACACAACATTTCAAAAGGAAAGCACACAACAATGCCAACTTGTTTAGTTGATTCCCAAATTCCCCAAGCCTCTAGCACAAGCTGGCAGCCTGGTAGAGAATTCAGTCACACCCTTCAGCGCCAAGCTTCAAACAGTTCTGTCCTTGGATTTATGCGACCAACGATACCAGTTCCCTTGCCCTTCTCTTCTGTTCCAGCTGCTCTAACTACTGGCTGCTCCTTCACCTTTTTGGGCCGTTTTTTGAGATTTGAATTACTCGATTGGCCAGTTTTGCTCTTGCAACTTCTTGCTTGGACCCTTCCAGTTTTATATGCAAGGCCACCCTCATGGTGTTCATTTTTCAAGGCACTCACTTGAGATACAACTTCACAAGGACAATTATCAACCAAAGTCCGTTTTCCTCCAGGAATGTTCTCAATATAACTTAAGAAACTAGCAGATCCATCAACATTAGTAGAATCATCTGGACTGGGTTGAGAAGAGCTCTCAAGAAAAGGTTCTTCAGCAACAAATGCTTTCTCCCATTCATTTTCCTCAGTAGCATCATCTTCACCCTCCTCACGAGATGGTTGGGAAGCACTCTGGTGCCCATTTTCATCGGTAGGCTCAAGGCGGGAAACAGAAGTTGATTCTATCACAGATTCTTCTCTTTCTCTAAGTGTCCTAATGATAAGATTCTTGAGAAAATTCATCACTTGAACAGCATACATCAAAGCTGTTAAAGGATCAGACATCTGCAGTCAAAAAAGTGGGCTGTCATTGCACTATAGATTTACCAAGGCTATACTTTATTGGACAATATTTGACAGTTAGACTGAAAGAAGACATAGCTTTTCATAAAGATATACACTACAGGCCAAACTATTCAGCAAGAAAATTTTAGTAAAGAAATATCACAACTGCTGCAGTTGCGTGACAGAGAAGGTTTTGGCATTGGTGTGGAGCGGCTCACATCAAAAGCAGACCTTTGCACGTTCAGACGCATCAGAATGCCAAATGAGTAGACTACATCGTTCCAGCATGCAGTAATTCTACTTGTATGTTTGACTGAATCCTATATGTTTTCCAATTAGAAGACAAGTACATAATTATCCTTCGAGGAAGATGGTGAATGCATATATCATGACAGAGACTTGTAGAAATTGTCTTGGACACGCTAATAAGTCCCCATGTTTTGCATGTAGTTGGCTATTGGTATTTCCATCTTGAAAAATATAAAATATTTACTCACCTGAGTCATGTTTGGTGCAAACACCATAGCAACATTGCGTGCATTCATCTTGTTCAGATGTTCCATTTGAGCAACATCAGCCATTAGATTTATTGCCCAATCAAGTAAAGCAGCTTCTGTTTGGGGAAGGAGACTTGCAAGCTGAGCACACTCCTCTTCTGACTGACACTGCATTACCTGCTCTGGTGAAAGAGAGTCCAGGACACCAGTTGGAAGTTCTCTAAACCATGCCTACAGAACACCAATACATAGAATTAATGCAAAGTATCTTGTCAGCTGGGGAGGACAAACACACTGTTTGCAGGAATCAATGGATGTGTGTGTGTGCGCGCACGCTCACATGTGTTGGGGTTTGAATTTCAGACCATCTCCAATGGTTTGGGATTTCAATTTAAAAAAATATCTACAACTAAACTCAACCAAGCTCCATGCCAGCTAGTTTGGCATTGGAAAAATAAAAATCTTCGAAAATACCAAACGTTTATGGAAAAATCAAAATCAAAATCTGGACAGCAAAGTTGAATCGGTAAGTGGCAGCCTTATACTTGCATGGAACATGATCTCATAGAATGAAAAATGATGAGCAAAAAGCCACACCATACCTTTATAAGGCCGGCCAAGCAGTGCACATCAATGCCCACTGGGATCACTCCACTGTTTAATTGGTCCCTGACATACTCCTCCTGGCTGTTACCTGCAGTAATTCTGAAAATTCCTTCTGCCTGCACAATCCAGTTTGAGGATTTAATGTCTGTTGAATTCAAATCATTACATGGACATCTAGTTTTCATATAATCTACAAATCAAAAACTATGCACAGAAGATTGGCCATTACACCAGTTGAATTATGCTATATGTGCACCTGGGAGATAGTTGGTTCAACTATAATTTATTTGGCACATATGGGAGTGGAAAAAAGGAAATGTACCTGCAAACCTCCTTGAGCATACAACTGTCTCTGCATCATCAAGAGTATTGTAGGCACACTATTCCCTCTAGAGTCGTATGAAAGCTGCATGGACTCTGTCGAAACCCCAAAAACAGTTGCACTACAAATGAAGGATGAATAGTCAGTATTCAAACATTATCTTAGATACAGTCACAACATCAAACAAGATAAACTAGTGTCTGAATATCTAGTTAAGAAGATGGAGAACAAAGCCCAGAAACCTTAGTTGTTTCACGACTTTTGTCATGACAATACATAGACAGAAGTTGAGATTACTTTTCTAGATAGATATACAGCAAATATATAAATATAAGTCATTGTGAATTGGGTGAGAAAATGATGGAATAAGCTGACAACTAAGAATCCAACAGGCAATAACAGGAAACTAATCTGCAGCAGAATAACCTGAATACCTGAACTGCACCATATTAAGGCATGGGAATGGAGATGCTTTTCTAGTTGGCCTGGGAACTTGATAAAGATTCAACTTAAGTCATTCAGCTGCAGTTGCCAATCATTTTTTTAAGTTGGCAAACATTAGCCAATCACCTATGTCCACGAAATGAACAGAATAACTCTTCGTTTTAAACTCCTATGTAATAACTAAACAATTGAGATTATCTCATCATGGTTTATTAAATATTTTCTAAATAGCAGTATGGCTTATAGGCAGTTAATGAATCCACAAGGCATGGGTGGAACACTATAAAGAACCAAAACTCCACCAGCTCTTGCAACAGTGGTGCTGGCACAGATTTCCAGTGGCCAATTTCAATGGTCAACACAAAGACATCAGTTGAAATGCTGAAATTTGTGAAATTGAGTTTTCAGACCAAGCAAAAGATGAAAATTCTGAATGTCTGCCAAGTATAGAGAAAAACAGTGCAATGTACATAACTCCAGAAGGCTTGCAAGGAGAGAAAATATTCAAATTCAAAGGGTAATGTATACGGAACTCTCGGTATGACATGCATCAGACTTAAATCATTGAAAAATTCCATTAATACTCATTCAGTTATACCTTATGGTTCAAAGAACCACAACACTATGCACATGCAGCAGTCCAAAAAATACAAGAGAGGCATCACAAAAATGACACTGACCAAAACTAAAAGCAAAAGTTTCCCATATGTTAAGCTAAAAATATTAGCGGTCTCTTTATAATTAATTCTCTTTCACAATTGTTGGATCCACTTTGCTTTTCTTATTTTTTCTGGAGAAAGAAAGGAATGACGGCGAACATTAGGCAAACCAGAAATTTAAAGAAGAATTCTCAGACAAATTTAATAGCAACCTATAATACTAGAGATCTCTGCAAAGCCTACGAGCCTTAGAAAAATTATCCTTCAAAAGATATGCTTTCAACAGATAATATTCATATGATGAAACATGGAACTAATTGATCGTCTTTCACAATTCCAGTTGATAGGTGCAAACACAACTTGACTTGTTTTGCCACAGTTATTCAGAACTTAACCATGCTAGATTGCGAATGATTCTTTGGAGGGGTTGTTCTCTGCTGGGTTATGCGAGTCAAGTCCATTCCAAATTCCAAATAATGTCAAATAATTTATTTTCCCTAGTGATATCCCGGGTTTTTCTTTTCCAAAAATATAAACATTTTTAACAAAATAATGAAACCCACGTCAAAAATTTCTCAAAAAATCAATCATCTCCTAACAAAATGAGATTAAACTTCACTAGAAGTTTATGCCAGCTATAAGTTTAAAACCAAAAACAAATCTTAAAAAAACATAGAAAACATATAAGCAACCAATTAATTTAGCATTAAGGGGAAAAAATACCAATAAATTTCCTTTCAAAACTAACCTGGCACTAGGGGCTCTCCTGGGAACCTCAGGTTCAAACTCAACAGGCAAGCCAAGAAACCCATTAAACCTATCAAAAGTAACATGAGCAACATGCCTAACATTAGTCGGCACCCCAATCTCCATTTTACAAAGCTCTTTACTCCCAGTACTAGCAGTAACACTACACCCAACAATAGACCTCCTGAAAGCAGCCACCAAAAGTTCGACAATTGACACCTGATCCCCTTCCCTCTCCCTCTCTTTGATCTCTTCTTCTTGGTCTAATATGTCATGGGGTCTATTATGTGGGTGTTGTTGTTGTTGGTGGTGTTGATGTGGGATATCAACATCATTGGTGCTGACAACACATGGTGTAGAAGTGGAGCTTGAAGGAGAAGGGAAGTGATGAGAAGGAGATGATTGGAGTACTTCAGTCATTGTTGTTATTTTTGAGAAAAAGTTAGGATTTTTTTTGCCTTTAAAGAATTAAGTAAGAAACAAGAAATAGGGCCAGTCGTTTTTTTTTTTTGGAGTGTTTATTCTTCTCGAATTTTAGTATTTATGAGGGGTCAAGCCAAGGACTTTGTGTGGATAGCTGTAGAGTTGGATTGAAGGAAAGGTTTTGTGTTGTATTGTTTGTAAGGTAAGACGTGACTATCATTACTTTCGGATTTTATGTATTCTCTCTTTCTAATCTTGGCTTGGCTGGCTCTTCGGTATTTTGAGGTTTGAAGAAGCAACAGTAACTGGATAAAGTTACAAACTTTGCTACCGTGTATTTTAAATTTTAGAGAGAAAGAAAAGAGAAGACGAGGATCTGTGGGTAGAGAGAGAGAGTAGCCACTGAGTCTTCATACCCAAGTCCTCTTGTATAAGCAAACCTGGAGTGCTGCTCCATCAACAGTCCATTTATCTAATGATTCTCAATGTCCTATAAAATATAGCCACCTCATGGCACGTGAAATCAAAAGTATGCATCCAGTGAATCTTGAATGATATATTGTTTAATGGATCATCATGGTAAACTGCAATGGAGTCCTAGCATATGTTTGGACTTGTCCCTAAATTTTGATTCAATCCACAAGGATGGCTTATTTTGTTTGAGATATGAGATAATAATTTGTGAAATTATTATTCAAAGTCCATGGAAAAAAATCTTTCCATAAGTTCACAAGGATGTAGATTTCATTTCAACATACATTTGTATCCTATCGAATTAATTTATATATTTTTTATCTGACTTACACCCAAATATGATGTGAACCTAAATTCCTCATAATTACATACTTTGGGCAAATTCAATGGCTTTCCTAAGAAAACCAAACAGGTCATTAGTTAGAGGTTCTAAATTATAATTTATTAATTTTAATTAGCATGGAATGACAGGTAATCGTAGGGGGTCATCTCTATAAAGAATGCTTGTCTTACGTCAAGCCAACTAGTTCTGACAGGTGTGAGACCAGAGTAAGGAAAGAGCCACCTAGTCCTAGAACGGAGTCTTAAGGCTCAACCTTTTTATTGTATTTTATTGTAGCAACGTCAGCATTTGGGTCCCACCAGTTACCTAATGCGTAACACGGCCAAGGTTCTACCAGCTCCAAGCTCTATAGGCTTGTCCCTCTTTGGGTTCTCCATTGAAGTGAAAAACACCAAGAGTAAGTTAGCGGGAGTAGCTTAGCAGGTATAAGATGAAAGAGGAAGGTAAATGGACTTGAAATCTACTAGTGATATTTTCCTGTTACAAGAATATCAGTGATAGTTAGAAGGGTTCCAGAAAAAGGTGATGTTGTGGCTCAAAGAGGCAATTATGTACTTAATTTCTTGGTTGGTTAAGCTTGTGTTAACTAGAGATTACTATAAGTGAAGGTAATAATGGAACTAATGCCATTTACTTTTCATCTTCTAATGATCATCCTTCGCCAACAGTAGCCCATGTTTTCCACCCTACAGTAATCACGCATCAGTAACTAAATCATAAGGTGTTTGCTTTGTCAAAAAACAAAGTTTAGATACAAGGATACATGGTATCTCAACATAGTTAAAACATGCCTTAATCATGTACCCAAAAAGGAAAAGTTTTTAATCAAGCATCGTATAGAGTTTGTGCAGTTATGGAAGTACTTGACAGTTACACGGAGCACTAACTTGCCATTATTAGGAATACATTCTACATTCTACATTCTACTTTCGTGTCCCTTTTGCAAGAAAGTCTACAAAAATATCATGAAGAGTAGAAAGAATAAAAAGGAAGCACTAAGAGACAAGGGAAAAAGTGGAAGTGTTGCTTAAGCAAATATAATTGTGTCATCAAAACCTTAATCTCAGTTCTCATGTGTTCCACCAAACTCATTTGCCACTTTCAAGTTTCAACTAGATAATTGTAGTCTAATGGAACTCTTAAGCAATTTGATTATTAGGAGTGAAAAAATCCTTTTTGGGATGTTGGATGAGTTGTGTGCAGCAGAAGCTTTGTGATTACTCCCACCAAATATGGAATGTTATTTAGCGCTTCGTACTAATGCATATATATATATAGTAGTATATGTATTATTGGGTACATGAACAAACAGCACATGTACGTTTGAGCAAAGCACAAAAACCCAAAGCAAGATTCACCCAGCGTTCTGTAGGGAATATAGCACAGCCGACAACTGCAAAGAAAAAGCAAAGTGAAAACACAGAGACTAGCTGAGGATGATAGACACTATACTATACAAAAAAAGAGGGAAAGAAACTTTCCATGGACTATGCCGTTGGGATGCTTGTGACTCGTTCACATAAAGTCACTGTTTCAAAA